ATGTCAAGATCATCGTTATAAAAAGCTGTTGATATTTCACAGTCTTTTTTTTTTTGTACCAAGTTTTCAAAACCCACTGTATTTTATACTCATGGCACAACTCAATTTGTACTAGCCGTATTTCAAGAGCTCAACAGTCAATAGGTCATCAGGCAAGTCATCCCTACATCTTTCCCTTATTGAGTTTAAAGACTGACTTTGAGATGAATAAGCCCCCTCCCCCAAAATGTTCACTCATTTGGCAAACAAAGGACTATCGGATCCCTTAATCAGTCTGATGACCAGGGGTGGGGGGGAACTACCTCCTCAAGGCATACATTACTACTCAAGGGATACCTGTTTTGAGGGTGCTGATGTAAATTCCCATTGCTTCTCTTAGAAGTTTCACCCCTTCTTCCTTCATTAAGGCCACGAGATTTGTGTCAGGCTCATCTTTGGCAAGGCTCACACTAATCTGAGTGAAAGATCAGAAGTAGGTGGTAAATAACTTGAGGGGCACCCACAATGTGGAATGTGGGTGCTGAGCAATCAGATAACTGCTGACATTTCCAAAGGAAATGTGTGAGGGCTGGGGTATCTTTCCAAACCCCATGAGTGTTCCTTCTCCAGTTCTCTCTGCCAAAGCCAAGGTGGCTAACGTTAGAACACATTACTAGCTGAAACAAAGTAATTAAATAAGCACAAGCTGTGCCGGAAGCTCCCAACAGCACCACAGACCTAGAAGATTATCTGCAGAATGAGGTTCTGAATGGTTGGACCCAGCCTGGGCTTTAATCTTGAAATCATTTTTCTCATCTGAGAAGAGGATATGGAAGACTCAGATGAAGAATTAAGAAGCACAAACCTCTACTTCATCCACACTGTTTTCATCAGATAAATTGGGGATCTCCACATGTCCCTTGTACTGCACTCCGGACTTAGAGGTACCTGTCAAAAGCAATGCAATGTCATTAGTCTCTCCCTCTGCAGACAAAGTTGGCTCTGGACGCCTAACTACTCCTCTGCTTATATTTCTTTTGAACTACTGAACTGACCCTCTTTATTCTAGAGAATGTCAGATACAATCAACCCTCCCCCAGTTCCCCAGAAGAAAGGTCTTCCTTCATTAGATCTGCGGGCCAGCTGTGTGATTACCGTACGGGACTAAGGGCTTTGCGGATGTGGCACTAGTGTGAATTCTGCCCAGGAGGATTCGGGTCAATAATCAAGGCAGTCAGTTCTGCTAGGATCCTTGTTCTGAAAATACAAACTTGTTCCCATGCGACTGACCTACTAGAGAACAATCTGATCACAGCATGAATTCCATGCTTCCTAACATGAGACTTCTTCCATGAGAAACACTAGGTGCACACATAGGACTACACCCAGCTGAAAGGAGCCGGACAGGAATACACAAGACAGGATCTCCTCAAACATTTATCTCCCAGCAACCTCAGTTCCCCATGTGTTCCGAGCCATGCCACCCACACTGGGGTCCGTAATGTTCCCTCTGATTTCATCAGTTGACCCTCCAAGCACCAATTCACAATAACCCACCTGCTGCAACCCTTCTGATACCTGCTTTCACAAGTGAACTTCAGATCTTTTTCAAAGTAAAGCAGCACGTTTACTATATTATTCATGTATTTCTTCCCATATAGCATGTAGAACTGTGCTATCAATTTTTACATTCCTAAATTTTAAAAACGTGTCACCAATGAAGGTTTTGGGTGTTGTGTCGTGTCCCTAACCCTATCTTCCCTATAAGCCCTGTGGTTTTGGTTGAGCAATTTTGCACAGTGTGGTGATTTTTAGAACACGTGGGCGACATTATAGCAGAACTGACTATATTTCAAAATTGACCAACAGGACATTTATTTATCTCCACTTCTCTTGACATCAGCTTCTCAATCTATAAAAAGAGGACCGGGTAAGAGGACACCTAAAGGTTCCTTTCAGACTACTATATTTTAGTAGTTTTTTAAAAGGTCATGAACAGATGGATTTACTTTTCCCCTCTTTATTACCATTTACTTAAGAAATGCTCATTGAAGCACAAATCTCTTGTATGTTTTGCCCCCTACATGTACTCCTTTAGCTTTAGTGCCTTTTGAAATTCAGCCTCTCAACTGTCAGGACCATCCAGGTGGGGCGCACACATGGCTCTAATTCTTTGCCAATGCCATCACAGAAGGGACATAAACGAGAGAGTAAAACTGCCCCAAATTATAGTCACATAGAAACTTCATTAGCATAATAATGGTCTACACTGGTAGAGTCACACTGGAGAAAGCAAAAAAAAAAAAAGATCCATACCCCCCAAAAATTTGCTTTCCCACCTTTAAATCAATCATCCAAGAGATAAAAAGTTAGCTAGTGTGAGAAATGTTACCTCATTTAAAATGTCCTAACATATTTGTGGCCCAAAAATTCAGTGGCCCAACTGCCTCACTGATGGGGACTTTTGAGACCCACGGAGAGAAAAATGCATTTAGTGTTCATCCCCTAGGGGCAGAGAAATTTTGGCACCCAATACTGATTTCCTCAGGACTCCAAAGCAGCACTGTCTCCCTTCAAGAGTTCCCAACTCCCCCCAAACCATTCTCCCTGGCTCCTTAGCAAGTCAAGCAAAATGCAGTTAACTTTTGTCCTAACAGTCCAGCATAGACTTACCTGTCCAGTTTAGTTTGATGCTCCACTCATAAAAGAAGATAAGTTTGCCTTTGCGGTTGTTAATGGATGCCTCTCCATCAAGCTTATTTACTTCGGTCACCTCACATTTGCCTTCCTCATTTTGCACCTGCACTGCCAGGAACAGTGTTTTCAGCTTATCCGTGGACCAATTTGAGGCATCCCTCTCTGTCCTGCAAAACAGAAAATAAAGCTATGGACCAGCAGCCAAATGGAAGAGACTGCTTGCTCTGTGCAAAAGAATTCAAGGCTACAAGAGGCCTGACAAATAGTTTGAAAAAAAAAAAAAAAATCAGTCCCACTCTAATTCGTCCACAAGCGTGTTACTCCGTTTTAGGAAGACAAGGACTCCCATATGGTCAACAAAGACAACCACGGCTGCGTGGAATGGTTACAAATCAAATGGAAAATGATGCCTTCCATCCTCAGCATGATGCTGTAGGGTCAAGTATGTGACACTTCAACACGGTGCCCCCGTTTGACCAAATGGAAAACCGTGACCATCTCGCTGAGGTCAGGAGCACAAGAGTGGGCCGTGCAAAGCAGTATTTAACTCACAAGCCCAGTAAGTAATAAACCCATCATCTTGACCTCATTAGCACAGCGGGCTGACCTGTCAAATTCAAACGGTGCTAAAAATCCCCTACACGTTCCGTGTCCTCCAGGTGGCCGTGGAAGCAATGTTAAGTCCAGCACCCTTGTATGTTAAGAGGAGAGGAGGCAGGCCGGGATACAGAGAAGGAAAATCACACTCTGCCTCCCCATGTGCTTAACAGTAGAGAAACCAGCAGCAAGAAGAGCCGCCACAGGGAAAAGATACAGTAAAGACGGTGTGACCAAAGTTCAGGGGAGTGAAAAGATACGGAAATAGGACTTTTAATGTCATAACGGAGAATAGGCTTTTGGTTGCATTATAAAACCACGACTGCCCGGCAACCAGGGGCAGCCCCGGGAGTTACAACACAACCCAAGGGAACAGTTCCGGGTGAGAGGCCGTGGCATCCTCAGCATCCCTGAGCTCTCAGCACCTGCGGAACACGCTCCGAACCTTTGCCCTCTGGACTCCGGCAGTGGTCCCCTACGGCTGACTCGGAAGCTCACGCGTAAGCCGCAGGACAGCAATTCCAGCGCCCCGGCCTCGAGCCTAACACGGCGGTCCCCCGACACAGTCCAGGGCGGCGCGGGTCTCCCCGACTCCTCCGGCCACGTGTGGGAAGCACGTCCCCGCTCGCGGCGGGCGCAAGCATGGGCATGGGCCAGGGCGTTACGTTCCCGGGCTCCTGGAACCCTCCTCTGGGCGCAGCCCTCCGCGCCGCCCCCTGGCCCTCCGAAGAGCGAAACAGAGGCAGGTGGTGGTGTGTGGAGGGGCCCGGGGCCACGGACCCCGTGCCGCGGCGAGGACCTCCCCTCGTGTCCCCGCAGGGCTGCCCCGGGCCCCAGCTTTGTTCCGGCCGAGGCTCCGGGACCCGCACCCCCGGCTGGGCCGGGCCCTCCCGCGGCCTGGCCCGCTCGCTGGCCCTCACCAGTGCCAGTTGTTGACGTTGGTGGCGTCCGCCCGCTCCTCCACGATCCAGCGTGGGTCGCCTTCACCCCACTTGGCCATCGGCTCTCCTGTCGCACCGCCACCAGCGCCCGAGCAGCCGCAGCCACAGCCTCCGGACCGCCTGGTCCCAGCCGCCCGGCAGCGCCTGGAAACTACTAGAAGCGGCCGCAGAACCTCCTGGCTTGCTTTTCCCTCCACCCCCCGCCCCTCCCCGCCTTAACTTCCGGCTCCTCCTCACTCCCACCGGGTACTTCCGTTTCACCTCGTCGGGTTTTACTTTGTGCCTGTTCGAGAGTTCTTGCAGGCTCCCTCGGGTTACCTCGAAAGGGGTCCGAAATGCAGCCGCTCACACAACCATTCATCACCCGTAAAGGCCACAAAGAACACGTCCCATTGTTCCCCGAGCCTCTGAATTGGCCCCCCTGAGCCTCATGGGAGTTGTAGTCTTGTTGAATAATCTGCTGGATAACCGCGGAAGGTCGCGCTAAAAGTAAAGGAAACGATTTAAGCGCGGAGCGCTGGGAGTTTGGGGAGTTGTAGTCAAGGAGCCCGGCGTCACGTCCAGAACCGAGCGTGACGGTGGAGACCGAAAAACTACAATTTCCAGCATGCCCTGCGGCCTCAGTCTTGACTCACGTTCCCTCCTTCCTTCCGCTCCACCCCGCGACTGCTCGCTTCCGCCTGTTTTCTATGCCGCTCAGTCTGGCTAGGAAGGGTGGTCCAGCGGCGGAAGAGTCTGACGCTGTCCCGAAAGGGTGGGCTCGGTGTGGAAGAGGTGAGGGTGTCCCAAGCCGTTTGGGCCGCGGGTCTAGCTGGTTCCAGAGTCTCCGCAAACTTATCCGTTCCCCCCTATTCTCTGGGGCGTCCCTAGACGCTTCCCCACCCGCCGCCCCGGCCTGACCCTTCCAGTCGGAGCGACCGAGTACGCTCGGGGTTGGGACTGTAAGCGGATTCCAATCCAATCCAATCCAATCGACACTGGATTTTGAAGGATCATTCACTCTGCCAGCGATCCGCCGGGCTCTGGCTACTGCCGTAGACCCGTGGCTTCCCGGACGGTCGCCCGGAGACTCCTCCTCGGTTAACCCACATTCCCTGGGCTTGGGTCATGGCCTCACAGGGAAAGGCCTGGCTCAGAAGTTAATAATTGGATCTGAGTCTCGGGAGCTGGTTTGTGAAGCAGCGAACGTGTCGGTCGTGGATTTTTTTTTTTTTTTTTTTTTGGCCGATGCCTGTTTTCCTTTGTTGTGTGCTTGGATTTGCTACCCCGTCTCGTGGGCTCCCAGTAAACAGGTGACGATAGGGACAAGCCTCTGCCGCCGTACCTGGGATCATGTTGAAGCACCTCTTTCAGTCACTCTTATAATCGCACCCGGTCGTTGTAACTTCTAGAGCCGTCAGATCTTTATCTCCTTCCTTGGCACAGGTAAAGCCAGCTAGGTTCTGATTGGGCCTTCGCAGTACACATTGGTGTCAAGTGTCACCCCTGCGGTTGCGTGATTTAAAAAGATTCCAGAAATTCTCTGGTGGATTACTGGGCTCGTTAGACACATCCTATGCTGGTTTGCAGATACTTACAGATATTTGTTTACCGCAGTGAAGTATCGACCTGCATTAGTTTTTCCTAGAGTGAAACAGAGAAGGGCCCTGCGTGTCAGAGTGGAAGGGATCCGGCAGCCGGGAAACCTGGGTTATAGGAGCAATTAGCAAAGTGGTTCTGGTACCTAATCCTTTTGTGCCTCGTATTCCTCGTCAGTGAAATAGAGATGGAATCTGCCAGGCCCACGTTTGCAGAGCTGTTGTGAGGATGACCGAGCGCTCTAGAAGTTGGCATCTGTGCCGGGGACCTTTCTGTGCTCCATGCAGGTCTTGAGTGTTTGTGATAGTCACTCTCAGTATTTTTGTGTCAGATTAATTTTTTTTTTTTTTAGATCTTTAGGATTGCTTATAAATATTACCTTTTTTCTAATTACCATGATACTTTATTAATAAAAACAGTGAGCATTAGTTTTGTGTCAGGCACTACACGCTCTACGTATATTAAGTAGTTTAAGCCTTAAAACAATTTTGTAAGGTAGGTGTCTATTGTTATGCCCATTTTACAGATAAGGAAACCAAGATGGAAAGGTGTCAGTAAAATTCACCATACCAGAAGGAATTGACATTCAGTATTTACTTTTCTGCTAGGTGTTTCCTAAGTCCTCTTTCTTCTTCATTGCAGTCCTGTGAGGTAGGATGCCGTTTTCTCCAAGGTTTAGAAGTAAAATTATTTAAGCAGTTTGCTCAGAATTGGGAAACCAAGATTTGAATTCAAAGCTACCTGCTATAAATAAAGCTTGTGCTTGTCCCACCATGAGGGATGATTTCCTTGTATCTGCCAGCTTCACTTGGCTTTAAATATACAGAAGGATTTTTAAGTTACATCTGGGTTCAGTAGAAATCAATTAGTGATGTCTACCATGGGAAGGGATCAGATAGTAGAAAATTCCCACCATATCTTTAAATCCCTGTATCTCCTGAAAACAAAGGAACCAGGAAGCGAGAGCACAGATGATTCCCTGGCTTACAGTGATTCGACTTACAATTTTTCGACTTTATGATGATAAGAAAGTGATATATATATATATATATATATATATATATATATATATATACTTTTTTTTTTTTTAAAGTAGTCTCCAGGCCCAGTGTGGAGCTAACACGGGGCTTGAACTCAAGACCCTGAGATGAGATCAAGAGATGGACCCTTAACCGACTGAGCCATCCAGGGACCCCAAAAGTGATACACATTCAGTAGAAACCGTAGTTTGAACTTTGAGTTTGGATCTTTTCCTGGGCTGGCAATATACAGCACAATACTCTTGTAGTGCTGGGCAGCAGCAGTGAGCCACAGTTCCTAGTCAGCCACACGATCACAAGGGTAAACAGCTGATACATTTAAATTATTCTGCACCCATGCAGTCATTGTTTTGTTTTGTTTTTAAGATTTTATTTATTTATTCATGAGAGAGAGAGAGGCAGAGACACAGGCAGAGGGAGAAGCAGGCTCCATGCAGGGAGCCTGACATGGGACTCCATCCTGGGTCTCCAGGATCAGGCCCTGGGCTAAAGGCGGCGCTAAACTGCTGAGCCACCCGGGCTGCCCAGTCATTCTGTTTTTCACTTTCAGTGCAGCAGTCAATAAATTACATGAGATAGTCAATACTTTATTATGAAATAGGCTTTGTGTTAGATGATTTTGCCCAACGATAGACTGATGTAAATATTCTGCGCACATTTGAAGTAGGATAGACTAAGATGTGCCGTTTAACATTTTCCGGGTAGGATATTTTCAACTTATGTTATATTTATTAGGATGTTAACCCCATTACAGGTGGAGGAGTATCTAGAGTATGTTAAGGGCCATCAGAAGCTTCAATGGGGACTCTTGGGTGGCTTAGTCGGTTAAGTGACTGACTCATGATTTCGGTTCAGGTCATGATTTCAGGTCATGAGATTAAGTCTCAAGTCATAGAGAGATGAGAGCGTGATATTTGCCAGTTTTATTCATTGCAGTATTCCTGGAACCTAGAACAGTGCCTCCAAGGTGGCGCTCAATATATGTTGAATAATACATGAATGCAGTTATCATCTGTTTTGTTGATGCTTTGATTGATCTTGTATATTCAGCAAAACTTGTAATGTGTCCTTATAACTCATGCTTGTCTTGTGCTGTTACCCTTATATGTATCGATACTGAATACTCCAGTTCTGTTGTAGGGTCCTTCAGAAGAGGGACTGTGTCTTGCATTTTGTAAACATCCCTCAACACCTGAGAGAGTGTCTTGAACAGAGTAGGTGTTCTAGGAATGAATGACTCCTTGTGGGTAATTAGAGGATCAGAACTCTGGTTTGATCAGTTGGAGACCCAATGATCTGATTTTATGAGACAGATTTAGTATTTGCTTTCTCAGCTTTTAAATATCTCCAATTACTGCAGGATGGGGTGGGAGGCAGAGTTTGTGGTGAAGGAACCTAAAGCTTTTGGAGCTCTTTTGAAAGCAGTCCAGGAAAGGACAAATACATGTCTTATTCTCGCTCTAGATGAATCGGACAAAGGGTGATGAAGAAGAGTATTGGAACAGCTCCAAGTTCAAGGCTTTCACCTTTGATGATGAAGATGATGAGCTCTCACAGGTAGGTTTTCATGAACAGTTGCTGCAGATCACACCTCCGCCACAGTGCCACTCTCCAATTCCTTCTCCTTACATCTTTGGGAACCTGGGTTTTGACTGTGTCTCTATTGGGCTCTATTGTTTTGGGTCAGATCTTCAGAAAAATCTTCATAGAGAAGAGCCTTCAAAAAAGAGCCAGAAGGATTGTAAAAACCAACTCTCTGCTCCTCTTACTTTTATGCGTAAGGTGATTTATTCCTTTCAGTTTCTCCCCCCCCCCCCAGGACCCCAAGTCTTTTATTATGTGATATAATTTGTTATTTTTGAATGATTGAATGATGAACTGGATTGAAAGTTGCTTCTTTTTTTTTTTTTTTTTTGAAAGTTGCTTCTTTATTGCATCTGTTTTACAAATGGGGAGATGGATTTATTTTTGGAGAAATGGATAAACTTAGGCTTACACAGCAAGTCATTGCCAGGTATATGATCAGAACTTAAAAACAGCTTTGATACCTTCTAACTCTTGCCACTGGACTGCAATGTTGGCTAAAAAGCAATGTTTTTTTCTTGGCAAATATCTAGCAGGCTAGGCTTTCAATTGCAGAGGGTGAAATGTTGGCCATCTTTAAATTTCAATTGCTCAGCCTTCTTGGTTGTCAGAGAGGTGAGAAGTAGTGATTGCCTGAGTGCCCTGCCTTATATCCCTCTGCAGTTAAAGGAATCCAAGAGAGCAGTGAATAGTCTTCGTGACTTCGTGGATGATGAGGATGACGATGACCTGGAGAGAGTCAGCTGGAGTGGGGAACCTGTGGGAAGTAAGTAGAGGAGGCTGTAGGAAGGGATTGATATTCAGGGTTCTTGTCACTCTGAAGACCCCACTTGCTTGTCTCCTCAGTGCTTGTCAGGAAGGGGAAGGAGGGTAGACTATTTTTAGATGAACATACATTTGGAAATTTAACCCCAGAAGAAATTTGAGGAAAAAACAGCAGTAGTTTCCATATGGCTCTCTAGGTCTGCCATCCTGGGGCTAATGCTTGGCTGGCTGTTTCAGACTCACTTGGGGTGCTTGTTAGGTTCCTAGGATTTACTTCAGAGAATGATTCAGTAGGTCTTGGGGATAAGGGTGGAGTGGGGGTCTTAATTTGCAATAGGTACTGCAAGTGCTTCTAATAGTCAGTCATATTTGGAATTGCTGGCTTAATTGCTCTTAACTGGCTGGCAGGGGACGCCTGGGTGGCTCAGTGGTTGAGTGTCTGCCTTTGGCTCAGGGAGTGATCCCAGGATCTGGGATCAAGTCCCACATTGGGCTCCCTGTGAGGTGCCGGCTTCTCCCTCTGCCTATGTCTCTGCCTATCTCTCTCTCTCTCTTTCTCTCTCTCTCGTGAATAAATAAATAAATCTTAAAAAAAAAAATAACTGGATGGCAGGACTGACTTCCTTAGCCACTGGATCTCGCTGTCTAGCTGTCTTATAATACCAGTTAACACCTTTGCAGAATCCATCTGATTTTTAGAATATTTTTAAAATTTTTCTTAATATAGGAAATACCATCAGGATTTAAAAATCAAATATTTTAGGCATACGGTGTAGTTTCCCTCCCACACTATCCTGCATCTACTATTCTTAGTCCCTTCTATCCCAAAACACTGCTGTTGTTTCCTTCTTCTGTTTCAACTAAAGATTCTTTTTACATTTGGGAATGCATATAGGAATATGCATTCTTATTCCCTTTTTTACACCAGTGGTAGCATGCTTTATACCCTGCTGTTTTCACTTGGCAATATAGTTTGGAGATCTTTCTATATCAGTACATTAAGAAGTTTCTCATTTTCAGCAGCATAGCATTACATTGTGTAGATTTCCCATAACTTATTTAATCACTTTTGATGAACTTTAGATTGTTTCCAATCTCTCCTTGTTTATATTGCTATCAATAACCTTGTTTTTTGTCCAATATGAGTACATGAAAGGTCAATTTTTATTTTTGTTTTTATTTTTTTTGAAAGGTAAATTTTTAGAGTGGAACTACTGGCAGAGGTATTTGCATCTGCATGGCGTAGATATTGCCAAATTGTTCTCCACAAGGGTTGCACCAGTGTACTCCCACCAGCAATGTTTGAGTGTTCCCATTTCCCCACAGCCTTACCAACAGAGTATTACCAAACTTTGGATCTTTGCCAATCTTTTTTTTTTAAAGTTCTTTTTTTTTTTTTTTTTTAGATTTTATTTGTGGGAGAGAGAGTGTAGAGTAAGAGAGACAGAGCATAAGAGAGATAGGGCCAGGGTGAAGGTGAGGGATGGAGGGACAGAGGGAAAGGCCGGCTCCCTGCTGAGCAGGAGCCCAATGCAGGCTTAGTCCCATCACTCCGGGATCATGATCTGAGCCACCCAGAAGCCTCAGATCTTTGCCAATCTTATAGGGGCCTGTAGTATCTCAATGTACTTTACTTTGTGTAATTCTCTTATTAAGTGTGAGCTTGAGCATCTTTTTATATGTTTAACAGCCACTTGAATTTCTGTGATCCATTTATTGATTTCCTTTGTTCTTTTTTCTGTTGATTAATTCTATTTGATTTTATCCTTCCTCCCTGCCCCAAATTTTTAAGTCCAAGGCAATAAGGGACCAGGGCCTCTGGTGAAAAACTTTTAGTGTTTGTCAGAATGCTGAATGTCGAGAATTATTATGAATGAGAATCATTGATTTAGTTCCTACTATCTCACAGGTATCTCATGGTCCATCAAAGAGACTGCTGGAAATAGTGGGTCAAGCCAGGAGGGGCGTGAACAGCTAAAGAGCCGAAATAGCTTCTCCACCTATACACAACTGCCCAAACCTACTTCTACTTACTCCCTGAGCAGCTTTTTTAGAGGTAAAGAGCACTGGTTAAAGGGACAGAGAGTCCTTGTTTTCTCTTTTCAAAAAACCACTCAGGCTATAATTTTCATTTACTCTGGAAGAAAAAGATTATTGGCAGATAAAGAATTATCTTTGGAGCTGGCAGTTGGGGATTAGAAGTGGGAGCAATGAGAGAGAAATTCAGAGGGATGGGACTGGGTTTCAGGAACGTGAACAAAACTGACTTTAGCTGTGTTGGCAAGTTTTGAATAAATTTTCCTGGGTCTGAATACCAGAATACCCCCTTGCATTGCTGTTGGGAATCCCAGTGCAATGCCAGTGAGAATATAAAATGATACAGCCACTGTGGGGCACAGGATGGCAGTTCCTTCAAAAAAGTAAGCCAGACATACAAGGACAGATACTGTATGATTCCATTTCTAGAAGATAGCTAGAGTAGTCGGGTCCATAAAGACAGTAAAATAGTGGTCACCAGGGGCTGGAGGTAAGGAGGAATGGGGAGTTACTGTTTAATGGGTACGGAATCTCAGTTTAGGATGATGAGAAAGTTCCAGAGATGTATACTGGTGATGGTTATACAGTGTGAATGTACTCAGTACCACTGAACCACATTTAAGAATGGCAAAAAATGTCAAAGTGCATGTCACGTATATTTTACCACAATTAAAAAAATTTTCCTCCCTATGTTTTTCATGGCATCTCAAATTTCTAAAGTTGAATGCAATTTTTTTTTAAGCCTCAAGTTCCCATATTGCATAAAAAAGGTTCTATACATACTGCATCCCTAACCAGCTCTGAAATGGCTCTTCCCTTATGTGTTCTTTACCTTCAGGGAGAACTAGACCTGGAAGTTTCCAGTCCCTTTCTGATGGTAAGCATTGACCCTCTGTTCTTGATTGCTGTGGGAGATGTTACTGCTATGGGGTACAGTCTGGGGAGTCATGGGGACAGGTGGTAATTAGATGAAATTTCTTCTGAATCTAGCACCATTATTAGAGAAATTTTCTGATACTGAGGAAGGAGGTCAAGATCATTCTGGTTATAGAAGCAAAGAGTGATTTCTAGGGATACTGTCTTTGGGGAGGAGCTGAGGTCTACTTTGGGCCATAAAGATGCCTGGGAACCTCACAAGTCAAAAAGGTGTGTGTGAGAAGGAAGCAGTAGAGAAAAGGATTGACATGAAGGTGGTGTCCTTCTGAGCCAGCTGCCTGTTCTTTTTCAGCTCTGTCAGATGCACCTGCCAAAAGCTATGCTCCAGAGCTGGGCAGACCCAAGGGGGAGTACAGGGTGAGTCATATCTTATACTTTACATAGTTCAAAGCACTTTGACACATATTATCTTGCTTGATCTTCCCAACTTTTTGAGCAGCTATTGTTTTAACTTTTTTGTAGACAAGAATACTGGATATCTAAATATCAGTGCTTGCTCTGGGTCTCATAGCTATGAAGTGGTAGAAGTGGGACTCAAAATCTATTTTTCTGATTCTGTCTTAGCACACTTTCCTTAACCATTGTACTGGTTTTGGGAGGCAGTACTTTGAAACTTTTGATCATTGCTGTGGTCTGGAAGCTCAGTGGAGCTCATATTCCCAAGAAGCACATAACAAAGCAAACTGATTCCTAAGGAAGAAACTGTATCATAAAGTCCAGAAGAGGAACACGTCTTCCTCTTCCTTCTGTCTGCAAAGCCATTAATTAGAATCCCCAGATGCGACTAATTGTATCTAGGGAATGAAGTCCTGAATCAGGAGGCATAGGGTTTTGTCATTCATTTCTTTCCTTCTTTGATCCATCTCTTCTTGCCTGAATTGTCCCTGTTCTAATTCCTTCAGAAACTCAGAATGAGACCATTCCTGTTCTTCACTTTTTTTTCTTTCATTCTCTCTCACAAAATATTTCCACATCAGAGAATAAAGATGAGTTTAAGGTGAGAAGCTGGCATACTGATGATTCTGATCCCTTAACTTCCTGAGATTCATGTGTTGCTAATATTCCAGGATTACAGCAATGACTGGAGCCCCAGTGACACAGTGCGACGTCTTCGGAAGGGCAAGGTAAGGCCACTTAGAGAAAGTGTTCTGGTGGGGAAAAACCATTATGGCTGGAGAAATCTATTTGCAAAATACATATATCATAAAGGATATTTATCCAGAATACATAAACAATAATGATTATCTTTAATAAGAAGGTAACCCTTGGGATCCCTGGGTGGCGCAGCGGTTTGGCGCCTGCCTTTGGCCCAGGGCGCGATCCTGGAGACCTGGGATCGAATCCCACATCGGGCTCCCGGTGCATGGAGCCTGCTTCTCCCTCTGCCTGTGTCTCTGCCTCTCTCTCTCTCTCTGTGTGACTATCATAAATAAAATAAAAATTAAAAAAAAAAAATACTTGCTAAAAAAAAAAAAAAAAAAAAAGAAGGTAACCCAAATAAAAAACTTGGCATAAGATTTAACCAGTTATATCACAAGAAGTTCATGAATAGCCAGAGAGCACTTGGGAAGATCCTCTACATCAATAGTCATCAAGAAAATGTGAATTAAAACTGTGAGATACTACTATACAGCCACTAGAATGGCTAAATTTAAAAATATCATTCCAAACATTGGGAGGCTGTAAAGGAGCTAGACCTCTCATACACTGAAAGTACAAAAGGTGAAATGTGAAAACTACTCTGGAAAATAGTCTGGCAGCTTCTTACGAAGTTAAACATACACTTAATTTTATTGCTAGACATTTACAATCCAAGATAAGTGGAAACGTATGCTCAAAGACTCCTTCATACACCGGGGCAACCTGGATGGCTCAGCTCAGTAGGTTGAGTGTCTGACTTTGGTTTCAGCTCATGATCTCAGTGTCCTGGGATTGAGCCCTGCATCAGGCGTGTGCTTTGTGGGAGTCTGCTTGTCCCTCTCCCTCTGTCCTTCCCCCCCATGTGCATGCTCACATGCGTGAGCTCTCTCTCGCACGCTCACTCGCTCTTGCTCTGTCTCTGAAATAAAATCTAAAAAAAAAAAAAAAAAAAAATTTTGTACACAGTATTCACAACAGCCCTATTCATAATAGCCCCCAAAGTGGAAATAACCCAAATATCCTTTAGTAGGTAAATGGATAAATGGTGGTATGTCCATACAATGAAAACTACTTACCGGCGAATCAATGTAGTACTCACCACAACATCTAGATTCCTTTCAGAAATATGATAGTGAAAGAAGTCAGATGTAAAAGGGATGCTTGGGTGGCTCAGTGGTTGAGGGTCTGCCAGGGCGTGATCCTGGGGTCCTGGAATTGAGTTCCACATCAGGCTCCCCGCAAGGAACCTGCTTCTCCCTCTGCCTGTCTCTCTCTCTCTCTCTGTGTCTCTCATGAATAAATTCATAAATAATCTTAAGAAAAAAGTCAGATGTAAAAGAGTATGTATTGTATGAATCTATTCCTGAAATTCTAGAAAAGGAAAACTTTAGTGACTGAAAGATGAGTGGTTGCTAGGAGCTAGGGATGGAAGGGGGCTGTTGACATCAAAGCTGACAAGGATGATGGAGTTGTTCTATATCTTTATTGTGGTGGTAGTTGCATGGAATTTGATATGTACTTGTCAAACTCACTGAACTCTACCCTTAGTAGATTTTATTGTATGTAAATTATACCTCATTAAAAAGAGGGGGGAAGTGATCTCTGCCCTTTGGGTTTGGCAAGACTCCATCAGGACCTTAGGACTTCCTTGCACACTAATTCTGTTCTTCTTCTCCCAGGTCTGCTCACTAGAAAGATTCCGTTCCTTACAGGACAAGCTACAGCTCCTGGAGGAAGCAGTAAGCATGCATGATGGAAACGTAATTACTGCAGTAAGTTGTGGGTTTTGTTTGTTGTTTGCTTAATTGTAGTTTCTCAAAGTCCAATCAGAATAGAACTGTAACATTTCAGGTTAAATGTCTAGTAGAGATCTTGAATTCTTCTTGAAGTGTAGGATTCTCAGTAATATATGCTCTGAGGTTTAGCTGGTAGGAAGTATATTGTATGTGGACGTCTTAATTATAATCAAGAAGCTGCAAGTTGGCCACTCTGTTCTAAAAACTAATCTGAGGTATACTTGGGTGGCTCGGTTGAGCAACCGACTCTTGATTTCAGCTCAGGTCATGATCTCAAGGTCCCACATTGGGCTCTGCACTCAGCAGGGAGCCTGCTTGAGATTCTCTCTTTGCTTGTGCATGAATGCGTGCATGCACATGCTCTCTCTCAAATAAGTAAATGAATCTTTAAAAAAAAATAAAAACATGGAACGCTGGATGGCTCAGCGGTTGAGCATCGGCTTTTGGCTCAGGGCGTGATCCCGGGACCTGACCTCAGGTCCTGCATTAGGCTCCTGCATTAGGCTCCTGCATTAGGGAGCCTGCTTCTCCCTCTGCCTACATTTCTGCCTCTCTCTGTATCTCTGATTAATGAATAAATAAAAACCTTTAAAAAAAATAAAAATAAAACAAAAACAACGAGTCTTTTGAGGGAGATGTATGTGAGAATGGTCTCTCTCAGAGGGAAGTGTCTCTTGCCAGTATGGGAATGGGCAGGTGGACTCCTCTTAGACATAGCTCAATTCTAGATGTCTGTCACCTGTCCTTCTGTCACAGAGGGAAATCTGTTGTCTGGACCTGCCAAGATTCTGAACGAGTCGCTGACCTCATTCCTAAACATCAGGAGCTCAGAGCAAGGCTTTGTGTTTGAGCAGTCAAATTTATTCTTTGTTCCGTTTTCCTCTAGGTTCTGATCTTCCTGAAGAGGACACTGAGCAAAGGTGAGCGTATGTTGAGAGAAATCTTCAGTCAATGAGATGCCTGCTACATTTGAAGGGAGAATGGCTTGGTGGCTTTCCTACAGAATTCACTGTCATCAGCTCTGTTTTAGAGACAGCTGGGGTGGCCTAAAAGTTCAGAGTATCCGTCTCATTTCTGAGGGCAGTTGTTCCTTCTGTAGGGTGATAACTACATCAACTGGAGCCTCCCTATATACTGGACAGATAGATGGCTGTGTTGGTTTGAGGACTTATGTCAGAGTCCATGCTAGGTGCCTACTGATTCGGTTGGTAAGAACCAAAGGCCACCTGAATGGCTAGGGGTTGCCCTGGACCATGGAGTGTGCTGGCAGTGGATTGAGCCATAGGACCGGGTACCATAAAAAGCTGTTTCTCACTTGCGATTAGCTTTGAGGAGTTGTTTGGAATGATGAGGAGCGAGACCAATTTCACAGTTGAGTAATAGGCTTTAATCTTTCCCCACCTAACTCCTGCCTGCCTGCCAGAGATCCTCTTCCGAGAGCTGGAAGTGCGACAGGTTGCCTTGAGACATCTCATTCACTTCCTTAAAGAAATAGGGGATCAAAAGCTGCTTTTAGACCTCTTAAGGTAAGCACTGATCATCTTGTCTGTAGTTACTGAGCACTTTATTCAAAGCACTCTGGAGTATACAAAGAGAGAAGACACGGTCCATTTTTGCTGTTAGATGAGATAATGAAAAATGATGGGAAAATTAATAATACAGCTCAGTCTGTGATAAAATGATACTGTAGCAGATCGTTAAGAACCAGGCCCTGGGGTCCAACATACCTGCATTGCATTGAATACTGGCACCACCGTTTAGTTCATAGAGTCACGTTGAGAAAGTGAGAAGTGAGGATTCCTACCTCAAAGCTTGTGAAGATAAGGAGTTAGTGTGGGGAAAGCACTTAGCATAATGTCTAGTCTGTGTTATTAATATTTTTAAGCATTTTATTATAAAAGACCTAGATTAAGGTATCTTTTATTACTTGGTTCCCAGTGATGCTAGTGAGAAATGCAATGGAAGAGCAGAATAAGCAAGTAAATCTTCAGTCTGGATACGCAAGGAAAGGCTCATGGAAGTGGTTAGGAATTGAGACTAGGTAGGGTTTCTAATAGGTGGAAAGGCAAGAGGTAGGCATACCGGCTGGAGGCCTGGAACAGGGGAGTGTCTTCTACCATGTTTTCCTTCCTTTCCTTTCCTTTCCCCTGCCAGTAGATTAAATTGTATATCTAGTATGTCTTTTCTTCAGTGTCAGGGAAGGGATTGGAACCCCTCTTGAGGCTGATATCTGGTCCAAGGTAACTCCAGTTATCCAGTGACTCCAGCACCGTGATGAGCTGCCCCAAAGACAAAGGTGGGGAAAGCAGTTCACCTGATCAGGGCCAAGATTACAGAGAGTTAGCCAGGAATTTGCAGAAGACCTGTTCATTGAGGCAGGCTATTTCCTCCTTCCCTTCCCGATCAACAAGACTATTAAGCATCACCTCTAGGCCAAACCAGTGATTTCATTATAGCGGTCCATTCAGAATAAGGAGGAATTAGAAGACAAAGTCTTTATTCTCCAAGGCCTTACCACCTTTGGGAGAGACAGAACCCTTTCTACACCATGCATGAAAACAACGAAGAACAATATAGAAAATCTGTTTCCAAGATTGTACTGACAGAAGAGTGCTTTAATCTTTTCAAATCTATAAGATTACGTGGGCCAAGGTTTTGTGGAGGCTCTGAACCTTTCTGTCAGACCTGTTAACTTTACAAAGTTATTAGTGTCCTGCAGTGCTTTCTTGTCCTTGCTTTTCACTCAGCTAGAGCGGTCAGGGGAACAGTGATATCTGATCCACTATGTGTTTTCAAGAGGTTACTGGTAGAAGAAATTCTTTTTAAGAAGAGGAGGGCTTATTCACGTATGAGGGCAAATGAATTTGAATTGTGTTTTTCCTAGAGCAGCTACCCTATTTTGTGAGGTTATATTGCCACACGTCAATAGATAAAAATGCCCTGCTCCCTTCTGCTTCTCCCCAGGTTCCTAGATAGAACAGAAGAGCTTGCGGTAAGTGTGGCCCTTTGTTTCAGTTGGGGACCTGTTTAACAGAAATCTAAGCCAAAACCCAGCCTCCGAGATCCCAGACTAGTTAACAGTATTCTTCCTTGGTATTGATTGTATCCAGAAGAGAAAGGCATCTGGGAAGCCTACAAACTTAATCCAAATGATGTACTATTTCTTTTTATATGCTCTTTTGATTGGGCTTATGAATAAATATTTCTTTGAATGACTAAAAAATGGCCTGATCAATTTGTAATTTGTTTTTTATTTTCTAATTGTTTCAGTTCCTGGTTTGTAGGAGCTTTTGGGTTTTGGCTTCTAATACTGGAAAATGTAAGCTAAGAGGGATGAGAAACCATATAGAGGCCAAGAAGGAGGATAGGTCAAGCTGATGATACACCCAATACACATTTCGGTGGAGAGCTCAGTGATTGAGTGTTAAAACAGATTTTTGGCAGATTTTTACCATTTTATTTTATTTATTTATTTATTTTTTTTAATTTTTTTTTTTTTTTTTTTTTTTTATTTATGATAGTCATACAGAGAGAGAGAGAGAGAGGCAGAGACACAGGCAGAGGGAGAAGCAGGCTCCATGCACCGGGAGCCCGACGTGGGATTCGATCCCGGGTCTCCAGGATCGCGCCCTGGGCCAAAGGCAGGCGCCAAACCATTGCGCCACCCAGGGATCCCAGATTTTTACCATTTTAGAATAAACTCATGGAATACAAGTATAAGCTGAAATCGTACCAAAAATTTCATTATATTATTAAAACTATAGCAATCCACTTTTAAAAATTTGCCATTATTGTGCAGGGGTTGGAATTCCTTAGCACCATCAATGGCAGGATTGTTCCTTTGGTCACTGCACACATGTTTGTGGTGAGATCAGTGCTCACATTCAGCTGGCACGTCTAATAATATTGCTAACCTTTGCACAGCAGAATATAATTAGGAAAATGTTTTTCAGTAACATTTTGTAAAAGGAACTTGTACTTAATATTTGAAGCATGGGAAAATCTCAGAAATCCTTTATCATAATCTACTGAAAATAATTGGCAGTCTGTAGCAGTCATTGGGAAAAGGTTTACACTTTTAATCTCCATAGATTTGAAACTGTAAGGAATTTTCTTCATACAGCATTCTTACAAAGTTTGTTGTTTTGAAGCTTGATTAGTGAAAATAAATGTGTTTTGGGTAACTCATTTTCCTCTAAAACTTTTTCTTATTTTATTCCTTTCTCTATTATTTTTTAATTGAAGGTGATGTATCATGCATGTTGTTGTATATAAATTTAGAGTTTTCCAACCTTACAAACTTCAGAATTGTCAAAGCTAATAGTCTGTTTTCAGTTTATCGTCAGAGCGGGAAGGTTATCTAAGTAGGAGTTTCTTCAAAGACTTAAAGCCAAAGTGGAATTGAACAATAAAAATTAATTATAGCTCTTAAAGATTACTTTAATACTAGGATTGGTTATATGCCAGATATTTTATGAAGATTAGATTATGATATAATCTCTATTATTCTGTTTCATATTATCATTTATATTTTTATACATTTGTTTCTAAAAGGATATAGTGTCCTTCCTAAACCCAGTTCATTCTCTTAATATTCATGTTAACTGTCAATCTGTTTATTTTTTAATTCTTGGGAAGTTTTTTTTTTTTTTTTTTTTAAGATTTTCATTATGTGAGAGAGAGAGGAAGAGGAGTAGAGGGAGAGGAACAAGCAGATTCTGTGTTGAACATGGAGCCCAACGCAGGGCTCGATCTCAGGACCCTGAGATCATGACCTGAGTCAAAACCAAGAGTCGATGCTTAATGACTAAGCCACCAAGGCACCTCAATTCTTGACAAGTTTTTAATAATTGTACATAAAATTGCAGTTTTTACGATCATCATTAATTTCTTCAGCCCTTGTAATAAAAAAATAGGGATTTAAACCTCAGTTCTTTTTTTAGAATTCCAAAATAGAAAGCCCATAAGGAGATTTTCTTTCAGAGTTATATGTAGAACCTATAGTAAGTATTTAAATGTGAATCTTTAGGTGTCAACAGTGAATCAGAAGACATGACTTATTCATGTTACTGATGTTAATTACTAGATATTTACAGGATCATGCTATCATTGATTATAAGGTCAAAGATGCCAAAAATAATGTTGAAGTAAGCATTTCATTCTTTGGCCTTTCAAAGGCTAAGGTTAGGGTTAGTGAAGCAAAAGTTGGTTTTAGTGAGGCTAAAGCCAAGCTTCCAAGTAAAGCTAGGTGCTTGCCTACTCAGTGCCTTGTTATAGGCCAGCACTGAACTTCCCATAGAACTTCCCACGATGATGGCAGTATTCTTTATCTGTGCTGTTGGATATGGTCCAACTAGTCATGTGGTAAAATGACTACTGTAATTAAGGATCTGAATTGTTTAACTTAATTTAAACGTAAATGTAAACCAAATGTGGGCATCAGTTACTGTATTGGATATTGCAGTTATAGATAAAGAGTGATTTTGAAGATTTTTTTTTTTAGGATTTATTTATTCATGAGAGACCCAGAGAGAGAGGCAGAGACATAGGCAGAGGGAGTAGCAGGTTCCATGCAGGGAGTTTGATGTGGGACTCAATCCCAGGACCCCGAGACTACACCTTGAGCCAAAGGTAGACACTCAACCACTGAGCCACCCAGGTGCCCTTGAAAATTTTTTGTCATCTATACATCCAGTGTGGGGCTTGAACTCACAACCCCGAGATCAAGTGTCACACGCTGTAATTACTGAGCCAGCCAGGCATCCCCGAAAAGCGATTTTGAATTACTCTTTACTCTCTCTCTCTACGTGCACACCTATCCACACCCACAGGAATCTCTGATAATGAAGAATTACGTTTTTAAGGATGGAAAGTCTACTTACATAGCTACCTCACCCTTAAGGAGACAAAATAGTTCAACTCCCCCCCTTCTCTTTTTCTTTCTTTCTTTTTGTAGCTCTCTCATTACCGTGAGCACTTGAACATTCAGGACCCTGAGAAACGAAAAGAATTTCTTAAGACCTGCGTTGGGTAAGTATGGGAGAGAAATGTTTTTAAGTATAAATCTTAGAGAACTGAGGAGACTAAATGAGGGTGGAGTGGATAGGCAGTTGAAGGGAAAGGCTAACAGTGGGTCATACAAACATCATTAAAGATGGTCTCATTCAGTGATTGCAGACGTTTTCAATGATGGGTAGTAAATTGAGAAAGGCAATCTAAAGAGTTTTTTTTCTACAGTTAATTTAATTTGAAAGACTGCCATTTGTTCTGGGATTTTTCCCCCCTCCCCCTCTCTCCCTTTTTTTATGATTTTATATTTTGAAAAGGTTGGCAACACTTTACCTTCCATGTTCTTTTCAGTGGTTACTGATCCTCGAGACCCCAGACCACAAGAACCACTCACTCAGCATAGGTGTTCATCCAGGATATAAGACCCTGTAAAAAACAGCCCCACATACTATTCTCCAGTGATGAGCACTCACTGCTCTTGGAAGTAGCTTGTTCTTTGTCAGACAACCTTCATTATTGTTAAATGCTTTGTTATATTGAGCTGAAACTTGCTTCCTTCTATCTTTCAAGACATGCAGAGCATCTACCCAGGAGGCCTTAATCCAAGTTCAATATTCACAGTTGCTTTAGTCATTCCTCATGGGACAGGAATTCTAGGATTCATATTTAGAAATTTGTCTTTGTCCGTGTAATCCTTAATTTTAACATTACCAAATACTGAGCTATGTCATAGTGGCCTCTGGTGAAAAAGAGAAAAGTTGGAATAGTGAGGTAACTGAAACCTATTGCTGTTTCTCTTTATCTCTTCTAAAACTTGGCTATGGCTCACACTTAATCTGGGATAGTGTAACTGAGTTTCAGAAATCTTCCAGGAGTGACTGGAGTGCAGGACTAAGGCAGCACTTTTTAAAGGAGAGCTCTGTGAACTGCAAGCCTAAAATCTGGCTTCGGTTCCTAGCTTTACATCTTGGTTTACCACGTATGAGTTTTAGGCAAGATACTGTTTGTCCCTCAACTTTTTCATGTGTAAATGTAGTGTTGAAGATGGGATCCTTGATATCTGTGTCGATGTCTGAGATCTTTAGTGATCTATACATGTACCACCATGCCTGGTAATTTAATTTTACCTTATATCTCTGCAATAAGAAATGACTAACAAGGGACACCTGGGTGGCTCAGCGGTTGAGCTTCTGCCTTTGGCCCAGGGCGTGATCCCAGAGTCTTGGGATTGAGTCCCACATCAGGCTCCCTGCATGGAGCCTGCTTCTCCCTCTGCCTATTTCTCGGCCTGTCTCTCATGAATAAATAGATAAAAGCTTTAAGAAAAAGAAAGAAATAACTAACAAATGTAAGTATCCCTTATGTAGAGTTAAGCACTGACATTAAGCTAGGACAGGAACCACAGTGCTTCACTGTGGATGATGGGCAGTCAGCCAAGCTCATTCACTCACTAAGTGATGTGTTTGTCAAACATTCCAACTCCCACAGTGAGAGGATTCTAACTCATTCCTCAGCAAAACCACTGATTACTATATATATTTTGTGGACTTTCAGGATCCCTCTTTTTTTTTTAAAGATTTTAATTTTTTAAAAGATTTTCATTTATTTATTTGAGAGAGAGAGAGAGCAGAGAGCACAAGCAGGAAGTGGGGGGAGTGAGGGGTAGAGGGAAAAGCAGATACCCCACTGATCAGGGAATCTGATGTGAGGCTCGATCGCAGGACCTTGGGATCATGATCTCAGCCGAAGGCAGACACCCAACTGCCTGAGCCACCCAGGTGCTCCAGATTTTATGTTGTTTTGTTTTTTTTACATTCGACATGGGACTGGAACTCACAGCCTTGAGATTAAGAGTTCCATGCTCTACCAACTAAGCCTGCCATGCCTCTCAGGATCCCTCTTGAATTGGCAAAACCTAAAATACAAAATCCCAGCCAAAGGTCTATTCTGTTTTCTGCTTTCTCTCTCTCTGCCTTTCAGGGATGCTGTAAAGGTACATTGGGATCAAATTTGTGAAGTGCCGTGAGCCTCTTATGCTTACAGTGGTGATTTGGTTTAGTTGGGTTTGTTGTTTCAGTAGAGAAAGAGGTACTAACCTTCTGGCTCTTTACCAGTTTGCCATTTTCAGCAGAAGATTCTGCACATATTCAAGACCATTATACCCTCCTGGAACGACAGATCATTATTGAGGTTAGACTCCTTGTCTCTACATTTTCTGCTTCGATATCAGTGCTCAGTGCCATTCAGCATGTAGGAGACCTCTATGCTCTGCCGTATATGTCATTTCCTGTTACATTCTCTAAGAGTCTTTCATTTCCTCTTTATATGTTAGCACTTTTCCCTTCATTGTTCTCAGGCATCCTTTTTCTTCTCACTTGCAGTTAACCTGGAAGTGTGTTTTCTCTCCCTCCCAGAACTCGTTTCATCCTTACTTCTCCAGTTTTCCTCCATTCAACATGAATCTCATCATTTTACAGATTTTAAACTCCCCTGGTCTATCCTGGGCAGTTTCTTTTTCTCTTCTTTGCTTCTTCCCTAGGATAGGAAGCACGACTGCTATAGTATTTAATGTTTCTCTCCTGCTTCTACTCTGCAGACATTGTTTTTTTTTTCACTTGGTTCACTCACTACAGGCAAATGATCGACATCTGGAATCAGCAGGACAGACTGAGATCTTTCGGAAGCACCCCCGCAAAGCTTCTATCCTCAACATGCCATTAGTGACAACGCTTTTCTACTCGTGCTTCTACCATTACACGGAGGCTGAGGTATAGGCAAAATGTGAAAGACCCCACACACTCACTGCACAAGAGGGATATAGGTTGAAGCCAGTTATTTCAATGTGCTCTTAATGATGGGTATGTATAGTTCTTGGGGAAGTCCACCTGGAAGCTTTCCTGGCCCTCAGAAAGGATGAGCCATCAGGGAAAAAGAGATTTAAAAGGGTTTATGTGGCTTCTGGTGAGCTGGCATGCTGGCATTAGCACATTGTCTCCCCAGTGCTGGTCCTGCAGAGTCCCTGCTCAAAGGTCCATAATTTCAAATGGATTCACATGGTATAAAGAAGAGCAGCAAGGTGTTAAGTGTTTGTGGGTACTTAAAAATTGTTTCGAAAAGGTTCAATTTTTAATGATCATAGATGGGAATGATTATAATGTGTGATCAATCTTGTGATAGATTAGCATAAAATTGAGAAATACACTGTATATATTAATCCAGTCTTGTTTGCCAAGTTGTGGTGATATCCAGTTAGACCTGGTGGAATTTGTCTCTTAAATTAACTTCTCGGGACGCCTGGGTGGCTCAGCGGTTGAGCATCTGCCTTCAGCTCAGGGCATGATCCCACAGTCCCGTACTGGGCTCCCTGCATGGAGCCTGCTTCTCCCTTTGCCTCTGCCTCTCTGTGTGTGTGTGTGTGTGTGTGTGTGTGTGTGTGTCTCATGAATAAATAAAATCTTTTAAAAAAATTAACTTCTGGGTTTAAGTGGCTACAGAGAAAAATGTACAATGTCTAGGTAGTGGAAAGAAAGGCAGCCCCAGTGGCCCAGTGGTTTGGCGCTGCCTTCAGCCCGGGGTATGAGCCTGAAGACCCGGGATTGAGTCCCACGTCAGGCTCCCTGCATGGAGCCTGCTTCTCTCCCTCTCCCTCTGCCTGTGTCTCTGCCTCTCTCTCTCTCTCTCTCTCTGTCTGTTATGAATAAATAAATAAAATCTTTAATAAAAAAAAATGTTAGGTTGGGTAGTATTTGGGAAAGTCAGTAACAGTAAAATTCCTTCTCCACCTTCATCCTAGGGGACGTTCAGCAGTCCAGTCAACCTGAAGAAGACATTTAAGGTAGATATAAATTGGTCAGTGTCTGGTAAAGTAGTATGAGAGTAACTACATGGAGTGGATGTTGCCTGATAACCCTGCATGGGAAGTCCCTTGATATTCAAGGTTGGAAATAGAAAGAATGAGGGCAGCCCAGGTAGCCCAGCGGTTTAGCGCTGCCTCTGGCCCGGGGTGTGATCCTGGAGACCTGGGATCAAGTCCCGTGTCGGGCTCTCTGCATGGAGCCTGCTTTTCCCTCCGCCTGTGTCTCTGCCTCTCTCTCTCTCTCTCTCTCTCTCTCTCTCTCTCTCTGTCTCTCATGAATAATAAATTAAAATATTTTTTAAAAAAAGAATAGAAAAAATGAGTTTGTGGGAAGTGGGGGAAGACTAACTGAATGGCCTGCAGCAGTGCTGGGGGCTTGGGAGTGAAAAGGTTCTTGATGACTTGAGAAATTTGTGCATTTTAAGGGGCATAATCAACACCAGGGAATATTTTTGCCTGTCTTTTCCAGAATTCTCCCCTGAGGCATTTCTACTCCTCATTAATTCCCCTGGTCTCTGCTTTTTAGATTCCAGACAAACAGTATGTACTGACAGCCCTGGCTGCTCGCGCCAAGCTTCGAGCCTGGCATGATGTTGATGCCCTCTTTACCACGAAGGTGGGTACCCTGGAACTATTTGGTGCTACTGGGGGCCTTGGAGATAATCATCTTTTTACCCCATACCTCATGGGAATCTCACATTCTACTTACTGGTTTACATTTTTTCCTCCAACTTTTTGTTTTCCAAAATGTCAAACTGAAAGACAAGTTGAAAGAATAGTATGATAAACATACTAATAGTCTTAATTCATTCATTTATTAACATTTTTGCCATATTTGCTCTTTTTTCTTTTGCTGAACCATTTGAAAGTAAGTTGCAGACATCATGATACTTCTCCTTAAGCAGTTATTTCATTTATAACCACAATATTATTATCATTTTCAGGATATTTAACATTAATATTGTAAAATCATTGTATATATAGTCTGTATTCAAATCAGCTCTTAGAGCTTTTTGTTTATTTTTGTGTTTGTTTGCTGTCAGGATCTAATCAAGGATCTTGCATTGGTTGTCATGTCATATTTTAAATATCCTTTCTTCTATGAGTTTGATTTTTTTTGTTTATACCCTTTGTTAGGTTTTTGTTGTTGTTTGGGGTTCTGCTTTTTTTAAAATTTTATTTTTAAGTAATCTCCAAACCCAATATGAGGCTCAAACCTATGACCCTGAGATTAAGAGTTGCAAGCTCTACCTACTGAACCCACCAGGTGCCCCCTACCTGTTTTTTGGTGATGATGGTGGTGGTTGTTAATTATTTAGTTAGCTACATTGACTACCAAAGCAATACATGTCTGTGTCAAAATAAAAAACACTATGTGAGAGCGTAGTCAAATTACATGAATTTCCTTGTTCATTGCCCACATGCTCCTGTCTCAGTCCCTTCTGCAAGGCAAACACTCTTAAAAGTTCAATGGTTAGTTTTCCAGACTTTTCCTCATGATATACAAATATCCTTATGTAAATATAAACACATAGAAGATAGGATTTTTTCTACCCAGATTAAGTTTGATACTATAAGTATTATAAAATAAATTACTTATTTCATCTAGCCATATTTCACAGACTTTTTTCTGCCTGTGGATCTAAGAACTTATTTCACATGTCTGACCCTTTCTACCCTCATAATTTCTTGACTTTTCTGAAAAACTTATCTCTCTTCACTTCTCAATCTTCCACCTCCCATCCATCCACACTCACCACCACGTTATTCTAGTCAGACCGTAAAACGAATGGCCACAAAGTGTGTTGAGTCTGTCTTGCCTAGCTTCTGCTGCCCCATCTTCCCTTTTCAGAACTGGCTGGGCTACACCAAGAAGAGAGCACCCATTGGCTTCCATCGGGTTGTGGAAATTTTGCACAAGAATAGTGCCCCTGTCCAGGTAATAGCTCCTAAAGGGCATTAGGTACAGGATCCTCTAGGAGACCTACCTTTTAGACTCTTATTGGTCAGTGGTGGGAGACTTGACCTGCTCTGGTCTTAGCTGTAAGATAACAAAAAGGCTGTAGTTGACCTTGAGATAGAAAAGGCCAGAGAGGGAAGTTCTCCTCAGCCCTTTAGAAGTAATCCCAGACTGCCCCTCTTTGAGGAGCATCTACTGTGGTTAGCCTGTGTGAAGCACTGACATATTATTCAAATGATTGAAAAGGAATGCTCATTGAGAAAGGACATCAAGGAACAATGAGCATAGCACTGGATCAGATCTAGAGCACATCTGTTGTTTGCCTGGGTATCTAGCTGTAGGGTATGGTGGGAGTGGGCTCTTCCCATCTCTCCTGGGTGAGCATGGAAGTACTGCATACAGTCCACCTCATTCCCATTGCAGAACTAGTCCTATGGTTGATCATGAGAATTGTAGACACGAGATAGGAAGCTTTTGCCTTCCTCAAGATTTTTGTTGTCTTCTTTTTAGAGCTCCTTGTTTTATGGGTCTGGGAGTCATTACTCAGAAGTATCTTTTCCTATAGATATTACAAGAGTATGTTAATCTGGTGGAAGATGTGGACACAAAGTTGAACTTAGCCACCAAGTTCAAATGCCATGATGTCGTCATTGATGTGAGTCCCTAAGAAATAAGAACCCTGAGTTAAACCCTTAATGGAGAGTGGGGGATTATGATATTCTCTGCCCTAGATCTTGAGGTACTTTGAATTTAGACTTAATAGACAAAATGATCTGGCAAGAATCAGTTGGAGACCAGTTCTCTTGTATTATTTTCCAAGCCCTTTGACTGATAGCTCTTTGCTCTTATAATTATGTTGTACTCACAAAATTTATAGAACTGAATCCAGCCACATAAGCTCTGTAGATTTCTCTTCAGTAAGAAGTTCTGTAGGTGCTTTACCCCACTGTCATCCCACTATAACCTCTCAGCCTCTCCTTGAACCTTGACCCAATGTTGGAAGTGGCAGAAAGAAAAAGGCCCTCGTAGAGAAGTCTGATTGGAGGTTTTATTGTGTCTGTTGGTGTACAGACTTGCCGGGACCTGAAGGATCGTCAGCAGTTGCTAGCGTACAGGAGTAAAGTGGATAAAGGATCTGCGGAGGAGGAGAAGATTGATGCCATTCTGAATAGTTCGGTGAGCAGCTACAGCTTACTCCTCCAGTAGTCCCAGGAGACAGTCCCCATATTCACAGTATCACCAAGTATATATTCCCAAGGCCTGCATGGGATCACAGTTTGCTGAGTGTCATGGATACAAGGATCTTCTGTGGGCCTAAGGATCTAAAGCACTGCTTTGAACAGCAGAAATTACTCCTAAGTTGTGTGATGATCCTGGGGTAATCTGGGAACCTTAGGCTGAGACTTCACATAGCATCCTGGTGATCATTAAACATAGCAGGTAGGAGGTACTAGTCCAGGGAGTATGGTAACAATGCTGCAGATTCATAATATCCAGGTGGTAGTTTTCTGGGGCCAGGTATGACCTACCTGTTGGAAATAAGTGGATAAAACAGACTTTTGCTATTTGAGCAACACACCTGGCTCACCTCTCAGAGCATGAAATGGCTGAGCTTTTTGTTAATACGGAGCTTAGCTCCTTGTTACATATTTTGGGACCTACCATGGAAGGTAGGTAAGTCTTGGTCCTGTGGAGGGCAGAACCAGAATAAATGCCATAAATCAGGCTTATAAGGTACAGAAAAGATGTTCGATTCATCTTTGAATAAGCAAATTCCCCCACATATTAGAAAAACATTTTTCAACTTCCCTCTCCATTCTTCTTATTCTTACTTTATCTAGCTGTTCTGTTTTATTGTATTCCCTTACCTCTCTGTAAGGGTTAGTAGAAACGGATATTTGTTCTTTTTCACAGCAAATTCGATGGAAGAATTAAGTGGCATTAGCTACCCTGAAACCTGCCTCATTTCTTCCTTTCCTGTCTGTGAAAGTAGAGAGTGTCTTCATTGGGAGTTACAGTACCACACATCGCTTGGACCCATCAGCAACAGGCAGCGCCTGCTACTCTTAGGGCAGAAACCAGCGCCTGGGCACAGACAGCTTCAGACTGACCTAAGGAACGTCATCAAGAGGGCCAAGATCTAAAGCTTTGACTCATGAGGAAGATTCTCTCCACCTGGTGCTCACATGAAGGTGGGAATAGTTTCTAGATTGGGCCCATATTGGGCAAGATCTCACTTGGTCTGGGAAAAATGACTGCTCAAGAAAGGAAGTTACCAAAAAAAAAAAAAAAAAAGTTACCTAGACTAAGAGGTCAGGTGTCCTAGAGTGGCCACTCCATTCCTCTCAGCTAATTATGACCCTGGACTTGGTGCTGGATTTTGGCAGTTCTGCTCTGAAGTCAGAATAGAACCAAAATGGCTCTCTCCCAAGGGACCTCAGGAAGGGATGCCAGTATAGCGGAGACCTGTTGGAGGTGCCTTCACACCAGACTGCAGAGTCCTCCATGTAATGACAGAGATTGCCCAGACGTTTGTGTTTCTTTAACCACTGTCCCTCTGCTGCCCTAGTCTAGCCTCTACTGAGACTTGTGTTTCGTCTCTCACCTACACATCAAGATGGCCTGGTGCGGGAGATAAGGAACTCCCCATTATCTTTTCCTCTACTTCTCCTACCCAGACCCATAAACTTTTATGAAGCTCAGATTCAGCAGTGCTGGAGTGCTCTTCCCTTATACACAAATCTCATTTCACTAGGAGCTTCCAGAAGGTTCACCAGGGCTGAACTCAACAGCATTTCAGACAGGATATTAAGATGGAAGTTTTCATTTCACACTTGGTTTTCAATAAGATCTTCTGTAGTGCTAGCCTCCTGTCCTTTACCAATATTAGCCTCTCTTCTGTGACTGAACTGGGTTTTCCTGACATGCCTAGATTCATAATAAAGCTTTTTCCTTCTTGGTGCCTTCTCTTTCCCTCCTAGTTGTTTTGTGAAGAACAATGAAATAATTGCCCTGTCTCTTGGGACCACTGCGAATCTGCCTCAGTGACTGCATTCAGTAGTCTGTCAACATAAGTCATGGAGTAACGGTGTTTATGGCAAAGTATGGCTGTGCGGTTAACAGGGAGCACTGAGCTGGGAGACAAAAAACCCGGCCTCTTGTCCTAGCTCTACTGTTGATAAGCTGTGTGATGTTGGGTGAATCCCTCTCTTCCTGGACTCACTATCTTAACCTGTCATAGGAGGGTATGTTTCTCTGAGAGCTTATAGAATTTTACACTCCTGTGGTTGGATGAAGTGGTAGATGAAAAGATGTATAGAGGCACATAGCATGCTTTAAGGCATGTGGTTCTCGACTGGGGACAGTTTTGCTCCCAGGAGACCCCTGTCAAAATCTGGAGACACTTTGCTGCTACAACCAGTGGGTTCTACTAGTATTTAGTGAGTAGAAGCAAGGAATGCTGCTAAACATCCTACAATTAGGACAGCCCCCTCCAACAAAGAATTATCCTGTCAAGAATGTCATTAATGCAAATGCCGAGAAACTCTGCTTTAAGGTGATCAGACTTCATCTCTTATTCCTCCACTTTGCAATTCCAGATACCTTCATAGTTGTTCCTTCCTTAAGCATCCCTCTGGCTGTTGAAGAAACAGGAGTTTAATTTGCTAAATTGTGCTCAAGTTATTGGCTGATCGTCCAACAAACCATGGTGATTTTATTAGTGTATCAGGGTTCACTCAGATATGCGGAATCACTAAGAGTATGTCATCTGTCTATATGTGGAATTCATTACATGGATTTGCCCTTACTCAAGTATAGCTGTTTGTTAAACAATCTCTGGAAGTTTGTCTTCATAACTGGTGGTAGAGCTCCTTATCCGCAGGGTGGGCAGTGGGGAAGGAAAGATAGATAAAATGTGAGGGAAAGCAAGGACAAGATGGAGCCCAGGAGGATGGAGAGGAGCCCATGTCAGTTCTCACTACCCTCAATGTCAAGGAAGTGGGTGTCCTGAAGGCAAAGCTAGCTGGTGGCCTTTGTCAAGGAACTGAACACAAACCTGGCCCAAGAGTGTGAGAAGCTGTAGGAGGATCCGGGGGAAGTTGTAGCAATTGTAGGTCCAACTGCTGCTGCACACCAACAGGGTCACTAGCAGACAGAATACCTGCCCTGACCTTGCAAGCATCAACACAAACTGGATGCTGCTTCAATTCAAACTTCCAGGTCTTGCACAAAAGTCTCTTACGGCACACCCTAACTGGAAACATTCAGGGAAGGGTGTTCTGGAAAATGTAGTTCAGCCTAGCCAACTTGACATGTTACAAAGCTACAACCACTGGATCTGCATTTTTGAGAATGTATTAGTGAAGGATGGACCTAGAGTCCACACCTGTACAGGTTAACCGGTGCTGCATGGTCGTGCTGAGCAGGGAGGTTTTGAACTTCTCTTTTCTTCAGAACAATAACATCACATGCAACATTAGGATTACCTACTCAATGTTGTGATCAAAGGAAGTGTTTTCTCAGATTTGATAAGAACTTCCATGCTCTTTACTTCAAGTGCTAAGATTGAGTGACATAAGAGCCCTCCTTTGATGGTCAACTAATCTTTGACAAAGCCGGAAAATATCCAACAGGAGAAAGAAAGTCTCTTCAACAAATAGTATTGGGAAAACTGGACAGTGATGTGCAGAAGAATGAAACTGAGCCACTTTCTAATACCATACACAAAAATAAATTCAAAATGGATGAATGACCTAAATGTAAGACATGATACCATCAAAATCCTAGAGGAGAAAACGGGCAGCAACCCCTTTGACCTTGGCCACAGCAAGATGTGACCAGGCATATCTCTGGAGGCAAGGGAAACAAAAGCAAAAATGAACTATTGGGACTTCATCAAGAGAAAACGCTTCTGCACAGCAAAGGAAACTAAATCAAAAGGCAACCAGTGGAATAAGAAGATATCTGCAAATGACATATTGGATAACAGGTTAGTATCCTAAATCTATAAAGAACTTATCAAACTCAACACCCAAAAAACAATCCAGTTAAGAAATGAGCAGAAGACATGAATAGACCTCTTTCCAAAGAAGACCTCCAGATGGCTATTAGACACATGAAAATATGCTCAATGTCATTCATCAGGGGAATACAAATCAAAACCACAATGAGATACCACCTTACACCTGTCAGAATGCCTAAAATTAACAACTGAGGAAGCAACAAGTGTTGGCAAGGATGTGGAGAAACGGGAACCTTTGTGCACTGTTGGTGGAAATGCAAACTGGTGCAGCCACTCTGGAACACACTATGGAGATTACCCAGAAAGTTAAAAATAGAACTAACCTATGACCCAGCAATTATACTACCAGATATTTATCCGGAGGGTTAGAAATGCTCATTTGAGGGGGCACATGCACCCTAATGTTTATGGCAGCAGTATCAACAGTAGCCAAATTATAGAAAGAACCCAAATGTCCATCAGCTGATGAATGGATAAAGAAGAAGGTGTGCATATATAATGGAATATTACTCCATGATCAAAAAGAATGAAATCTTGCCATTTGCAACAACATGAGTAGAACCTAGAATGTATTATACTGAGATAAGTCAGAGAAAGACAAATGATTTCACTCATATATGGAATTTAAGAAACAGAACAGCTGAACATAGGGGAAGGGAAGGAAAAATAAGAAAAATGGAGAGAGACAAACTATAAAAGACCTTTACTATAGGGAACAAGCTGAGGGTTGCTGGAGGGGAGGTAGGTGGAGGATGGACTAAATGGATGATGGGCATTAAGGAGGGCACTTGTTGGGATGAGCACTGGGTTTATATGTGGGTGATGAATCACTGGATTCTGCTCCTGAAACCAGTGCTGCCCTGTATGTTAGCTAATTTGAATTTAAGTTAAAAATAAAATTAAAAACAGCCCTGCTATGAAAGGGATTAGAGAAGCTAGAGACGGGATCCCTGGGTGGCGCAGCAGTTTGGTGCCTGCCTTTGGCCCAGGGCGCGATCCTGGAGACCCGGGATCGAATCCCACGTCGGGCTCCCGGTGCATGGAGCCTGCTTCTCCCTCTGCCTGTGTCTCTGCCTCTCTCTCTCTCTCTCTCTGTGACTATCATAAATAAATTTTAAAAATTAAAAAAAAAAAAAGAGAAGCTAGAGACATGAAATGTTGCTTATATGGTTCCATGTACATGGAACATCCAGAAAAGGTAAATCCACAGAGACAGAGACAAGAAGCAGATTTGTGGCGCCAGGGGCTGAGGAGGGTGGTGGGCAAGTGGGGAGTGACTGCTTAATGCATATGGGGTTTCCTTTGATCAGGAAGATAAAAATGTTTTGGAGATAGAAGTCGTGGATATGAGTGTATTGTGAATGTACTGAATTGTTCACTTCTAAATGGCTATGTTATGTGAGTTTTACCTCTTTTTTTTTTTTTTTAATTTAAAAAGTGGATTAGAGTGTTGCCTCGCTGTTTCAGTCCATAGAGTGACTCTTGATCTCAGGGTCCTGAGTTCGAGCCCCACATGGAGTGTAGAGATTACTTTCCAAAAAGGTAGATTTCAGTAGTTTTGATTTCTGTTACCAATTTTGCCATTGCTATAATAAAATAAAGTTCTGAATATCACTGATTCTTTCCCCGACTTTATTGAGTTATAATTGTATAAAATTAAAAGTGAAATAAAAGTTGTATATATTTAAGGTGTATAACATGATGATTTGATATATATTGTGAAATGATTACCACAGTTAATTAACATGTCTGTCATGTCACACAGTTACCTTTTATGTGTATATGTGGTGAGTACATCTCTTAGCAAATTACAGGTATAGCATATAATTAACTATCATCACTATGGTGTACATTACATCTCCAGAACTTACTCATCTTATTCATTGTTGTCTTGAATTCAAAAAGAAGTAGTTTGGAAAATAACTCCTTAAGTAGTGCTGAGATCTCTATGATATTATAGTCTGGGAAAAATCTAGAAGTCCAGAACCTTCTGTTAGGAAAAGGAGGATCTCATACATCCCTGTTTGTAGTCCTCCTAGAAGTAGTGGAAAGGGGTGCCTGAGTAGCTCAGTTGATTGAATGTCTGACTCTTGATTTTGCCTCAGGTCATGATCTCAGGGTTGTGAGATCAAGCCCCGGGTCAGGCTCTACACTCAGCAGAGAATCTGCTTGAGACATTCTCCCTCTCCCTGTGCTCCCCCCACCTCAAATAAATAGATTTTTTTTTTTTTTTAAATGAAGTAGTGGAAAGAGTTCCTGTCCTCATGAGGCAGGTCTGAAAACCTCTGTGTGAGGCTGGCCCCTTTAAGGCTCAGAGACTGAAGTAATCTGGTAGCTAAGGAGTCACAATGATAACTTTCTTGGGTAATTCTCCCTGGAAATGTAGTTCTTACTCTCCAGGGCCAGAAGTACTGAGTAGTGCCACCTTCTCAGTTTGGTTAGTGAGAGAAATATATAAACGGGCTTATATATCTCTGGCTTTATTTTCTAAAATCCAGATGTCATTGCCCTAGACCGAAGACCATGTTATTTAATTTGGGTTCTTTCCTATCCTTTGAGGAACAGAGTTTGGTGAAAAGAGTTCCTCTGAAGTGTGGTGTACACGGTCAATCCTATTTCTAAAGCCTAAAAGGGAATTGAAGGGAGAAGGTCCTGGCCAACGAACGAGCATCTGTGAAACTCCCTGCTAATGTAAAGGCATCTGCTGAAAAAAGTACGTGTAGCCTATGTGGAGGAACACTTTGGGATTTTGTTCAGGTTTTTCATGAATCCAGGAATTCCTGATTCATGGGCAGTCAGCGTCTAAGAATCTAGGACTCACACTGAAAGTGCAGAATGTGGGAGGAGAGAGGTGCTGAATCCCACCATCACAAGAGCCTGTGACTTGGGCACATGCCCTCCTGCATAGACTCCCTCATCTTCCAAGACAGGGAGCCAAACTGATTGGTATCTGTCACTGCAGAGGTAGTGGCTTAGAAATGAACATGCTAGAGGACCTTGAGTCCTTGCAGTTTGAGTATGGGATTCAAAAGGAAGACCACAGCTGGCTGTATTTGCAGGGCCGTTCTCGAGGCCTGATGATCAAGGCCTGTGCCCATGCAACCTTCTTCTGCAAGCTGCTCTGTAATTTGAGGTAAGCTGGGTCTCCAAGGTCAGGCAGATGGAGAAGATCTCACTGTGGAGAATCCAAATGACTTTACCTTTTTATATTGGAGGATAACTTTGGGAGGCGGAGTTGTCTCTTTTTTTCTTTTTTTCTTTTTCTTTCTTTTTTTTAATTTTTTTTCTTTTTTTTTCTTTTTTTCTCTTTCTTTTTCTTTCTTTCTTTTTCTTTCTTTCTTTCTTTCTTTCTTTCTTTCTTTCTTTCTTTCTTTCTTTCTTTCTTTCTTTCTTCTTTCTTTCAGATTTTATGTATTTATTCATAAGACAGAGAGAGGAGGCAGAGACACAGGCAGAGGGAAAAGCAGGCTCCTCGCAGAGAGCCCAATGTGGGACTCGATCCCAGGACCTTGGGGTCACGCCCTGAGCCCAAGGCAGATGTTCAACCACTGAACCACCCAGACGTCCCATGAGCCACCTAGGCATCCGTTTACCTTTTCCAACCCACAGTCTATCACTGCTGGTCTGAAGGCACTACCAGAGTCCCTTGGTTGTGGTTACATAACAAAGCATGGCTTGTGATTTCCTTTTGGTGGGTGGATTGATTAAGTGATCAGTACATTCATTCACCCATTCTGTCACTCACTGGGACCACCAGCTTGTTTTCCACAGCTATCAATGACTAGCTATCCTATGGCTGTTGGCCAGAAATGAGGTTGGTTCTTCCTTTCGGAGCTAAGCTAACAGTGGAATTCTGCTTAATGGGAAAGCCACCTGAAACTTTGGGGGTTCTTTAGGCCAGATGACTCATATGAAACCCAGGGATACTGATTTGCAAAAAGCTCCCAGTCTAGTCTTGATCTCTGATGTTTTGTACGATGTGGCTTCAGACACTTAAAGTGTGAGAGCCAGGTACCTAAGCCCAGACTCCTGTAATGCTGCAAGTTACTCCTGGAACATTGGTAGTGCCCCCTGCCTCCAGACTATTTTTTTCTGAAATTAGATCAACTCTTAGGTGGTGGTACCAGATATGAATTGAACATGTTACAGATACAGCAGATACACAAAGAGGCAGGCTGCTTAATGAGTTTGCTGATTGGTTGACTAAAGAGGATACATAAACCTTGGGCAGCCTGGGTGGCTCAGTGGTTTAGCGCCGCCTTTGGCCCAGGGCGTGATCCTGGAGACCCGGGATCGAATCCCACGTCAGGCTCCCGGTGCATGGAGCCTGCTTCTCCCTCTGCCTGTGTCTCTGCCTCTCTCTCTCTCTCTCTCTCTCTCTTTCTGTGTCTCTCATGAATAAATAAAATCTTAAAAAAAAATACATAAACCTGGTTGCATCCCAGGTGAGCGGTGACAAACCAAAATATGACATTTCCAGGAGGCATTTTATATTTGGGAGGATCAGGCACAGAGAAAATGCTTTCCTTTCAACCTAGAGAGAAGCCTTAAATAGAATGTGGTTTGTGATGTTTATATGGAAACTCCAGAGCTTCAGACCAATTTTTAACAGAAATAGGGAACAAATTTAAGATTGTCGTATAACACAGAAAACAATTCTTTATGTATTCAGAGGTCAGACTTTGTTGACCTTGGGCCAAGGAAACATGTCCAGAACCAACAGTAAGTGAATCTCCAGAAAGAGTGGCCTCAAACTTTTAATCCTCAATTTCTCAGTTTTGTTTTCCCTTATACACCGCTTACTTTTATAAATCATATGTTTGAAAACAGTTACCCGAGATGTATGCAAAGGTAAAATAGCAAACTAGAAAGAGTAGGCATATGGTAGGAAAGGGGGATGCTTATCATGATGGCAATGAAACTGACAGCTGTCTGGCTGTCATTCTGGCCAGCGGTGTTCCAGAATGATGTATAAACAGTTGATTGTTGATAATGAGAGTCCTGAGTCAAACAGTTAAATATTCAGACCTTGTGTGTAAGAAGGAGGGAAGTGCCTGGTACATGTAACAGCAACAACAAAGTGTGTTTATTTAAAAATGTCTTAAACAAGTTTTGGTACCCTGAAGGAGTATGCTTTGGAAAATTTTCCTCGTGGAAAATTCGCTCAGGAGGAACATTTCACTCCCTAGCAATACTGGATAAGTGGCATGTAAGTGGAATGCCTTGTCTCTGAAGTACGTACAGTGCCACCGGGCTATCACCTGAGGAAGTTAAAGCAGAGCACATGGGAGGCTGACAAGAAGCGCTACAGAATTCACGTGTCTTTATTTATCTATCTGTATGTTCATTCTCCAGAGAATCATTACATAAGAAGCAAACTTCCAGATGTGTTTTGACTGGATTGCTTGCTGCCATTCCCAATGATGAGTTAAAGGTGGGCATCATTGGCGGTGGCAACCTTGGGAAGCAGCTGGCTCGCGTACTGCTTCAGCTTGTCCCCATCCCTGCTGAGAACCTGAGGATCTCCACTCGGAGGCCAGAGGTCCTGGGTGAGGAGCAGCGCGTGGCAGAGAGGGACTCAAGTGTGCTCTTTAGATGTTGGTGAGGCCATTTTGGAAGGGTCCCTTGAGAGAGGAATCCCTGCATGCAGTATGCTGAGTTCTCTGCTTGCTACCCCTGAAAAAAGGATGTTTTTATGTTTGTATGTGTTTCAAATGTTGACTGATTGATTTGAGAGACAGAGTGTGTGCATGGGAGTGGGTGGAGGGGCAGAGGGCGGTGGAGAGAGAGAAGCTCAAGCAGACTCCCTGCTGAGCATGGAGCCCAATGTAGGGCTCAATCTCATGACCTGAGATCGTGACCTGAGCCAAAATTAAGAGTCAGAGGTTCAATGGACTGAGCCATCCAGGCACCTTGAGTGTGTATTTTTTTTTAAAAGATTTTATTTTTAAGTAATCTCTACATTCAAATGTGAGGCTCAAACTCTCAACCCCAAGGTCAAGAGCTACAAGCTCCATGGACTGAGCCAGCCAGGCACCCATAGAAAAATGCTTTTTTTAAAAAAATTTTTTTTATTTATGATAGTCACATAGAATGAGAGAGAGAGAGGCAGAGACACAGGCAGAGGGAGAAGCAGGCTTCATGCACCGGGAGCCCGATGTGGGACTCGATCCCGGGTCTCCAGGATCGCGCCCTGGGCCAAAGGCAGGCGCCAAACTGCTGCGCCACCCAGGGATCCCTTTTTATTTATTTATTTATTTATTTTTTTTAGAAAAATGGTTTTTGATGTTCCTTAAAACAACTTTCTCATGCTCCAGTTTCTCTTCAGATCAAACAAATCTTTATCTTTTTACTAAAAAAAAGAAAAAAAGAAAACTTTCTTCTCCATGTAAATGTTTTATATTCATCTCTCCTCCCTGCACCCTTGGTGAGAAGATAGCTTTTCGGGTCTTTTATATAGAGAAGCTTTCCAAAGAGGGTTCATATCTTCTAACTGGACCAATTAGAGTCTGATGGGTATTAACCAGTTGCAAACACTTGACCTTGTGTTTTTAAAAATAACAATTACTGGGGCACCTGGGTGGCTCAGTTGGTTGAGTGTCCAACTCTTGATTTCGGCTCAGGTCATGATCTCATGATTGTGAGATCGAGCCCCACATGGGGCTGTGTGTTCCATGCAAAGTCTGCTTAAAGCTCTCCCTTTTCCTCTCCCTCTACCCCTCACCCTGCTCATACTCTCTAAATAAATAAATAATTAAATGAAATCTTTAAAAAATAAAAATTACTAAATTAAAAAAACGTTTTATAATAATTCCACTTACTAGTCTGCAGTGCTAGAAATCAGAACAGTGGTTGCTCCTGGGGAGACTGACTGAGGAGGGGCCTGAGCAGACTTTCTAGGGAGATGAAAATGTTTATATTTCTGAGTATTTAATTGGATGAGTATTCCATAGTTCATCTGTTGGTGGACAAACAGGTGGTTTCTATTATACAGAAAGCTACGATGAACATTTGTGTGCAAATATTAGTGTGGACAAATGCTTCAACTTCTCCTAGGTAAACACCTGGAAGTGGAATGGGTGGGTACCATGGTCAGTTTGTTTTTGTTTTTGTTTTTTTAAAGAGACTTCTAAAAAAAAAAAAAAACTTCTAATATAATTTTTCGAATCAACTTCCAAAAAGACGTATACTTAAACCAAAATTGTGGACGAATATCCATTTCATTATACTCTTTTTATTTCAGGGGAACACTTTTTTTTCTTTAATCATTTTTTTAAAAAGATTGATCTATTTTAGAGAGAGGTAGAGAGCACATGCAGTGTGGGGAGGGGCAGAGGGAGAGGAAGAATCTCAAGCAGACTCCCTGCTGAGCACAGGACCTGACCTGGGGGCTCAGTCTCATTACCTTGAGGTCATGACCCAATCGGAGATCAAGAGTTGGATGCTTAACCAGCTGAGCCACCCAGGTGTCCCTTAATCACCATTTAATATGCCTTTTAAATTTCTCTTGTTTTAATATATTTTCCCTTGATCACTAGAAGATCTAAATTTGTTCATAACTTTATTATTATTTCATTTTTAAAAAAGATTTTATTTATTTATCTGACAGAGAGACAGCACAAGCAGGCGGAGCAGCAGACTCCCTGCTGAGCAGGGAGCCCAGTGCAGGGCTCAATCCCAAGACCCTGGGATCATGACCTAAGCCAAAAGCAGACACTTAACCAACTGAGCTACCCAGGCACCCCCCTTTCATTTTTTTGAGTTCTTTTTTTCTAGTTTTTCTGTTGGAGTGCTTGAATTTCTCTTACTAATTTGTTAACATGCTTTCCATATTAAACTTTAAAAAAACCTTATCATACAAGTCAAATTTCTCAGATTTCATCAGTAGGACTAGTATATATGTTTCAATAAGATGCATATATTCTGGGTGCCTGAGTAGTTTGGTTGGTTAAACATCTACCTTTGGCTCAGGTCATTACCCCAGGGTCCTGGGATCAACACCCACATCAGGCTCCCTGCTCAGTGGGGAATCTGCTTCTCCCTCTTCCTCTGCCTGCTACTCCCCCTGCTTGTGCTCTCTCTCTCTCTCTCTGTCAGATAAATATTTTATTTAATAAAAATATTTTATTTAATAAATTAAATAATAAAAATAATAAAAAAATAAATTAATTAAATAAAAAAATAATAAATAATTTTATTTAATAAAAAATATTTTATTTTTTTAAAAAGTTGCATATATTTTTTGGAAAGCACTATGCTTATTAATAATAAAATTATAGTTTTAGAACATCACTGAAGGGCAGCCCGGGTGGCTCAGCGGTTTAGCACCACCTTTGGCCCAGGGCGTAATCCTGGAGTCCCAGGATCGAGTCCCACGTCGGACTCCCTGCATGGAGTCTGCTTCTCCCTCTGCCTGTGTCTCTGCCTCTCTCTCTCTCTCGAATAAATAAATAAAAAATCTTAAAAAAAAAAGAACATCACTGCATGTTGTGTAAGGAAGCAAGAATTCAAAATGCTTAGCATCAAATTCTATACACTTTTGAGAACAATCCATGAAAGAATGAACATGCATGTTTTCTAAGCTTCCTCTTTGTCCCATCCATCTCCCAGGTTTTTGAGTGCCTAGATAACATCAGTGTCAAATATATCATGTACTTGATCTTAGGTGGTTGAAATAAGAACTCACTTTTCCAATGTCTGTAATATCCTATTTTCCAAAAACCCTTAAAACACACTACCCTATGTGAGTTTACATTTTTACTTTTGAAACCCATGTCGAATAAATCTAAATGATTAACTGCCAGTGACTGAATGGAAATACATGAGTCATCACATTTCTCTGAACATTTAAAACTATCTTGTTCATGGTAAGTTGCATAGACTTTATGGAAACTGTAAGTATATCTTTCCAGACTCTTCCCAGCCTCTGCCCTATACTCTTCTACTCTCTCAGCCTTTCCTACCAGCTCAAACTACATGATATCTTGAAACTTCAGTTTCCTCGTCCATAATATAGGAATAATAGTAGTCTCTGCCTCAGAAGGTCCTTGTGAAGATTGCCTTAGAAAATACATGCAAAGTACTTTGTACACTACCTGGAATGTGATAAACCTTCAGTAAATAGAGTAGGAAGACTTCTTCCATATTTTTTTGTTCCAAAAAACAAACATACATACCTGAAAAAGTCTAGCATTTGGTCTCACAGTAAGATAAGGATGAATTATAATCTGAAATGCTGCTGCAGGAGCACTGGTTTCTTTGATAATTGGGTTAGGGCATGGCCCATGTCTTTTAGAAGATTCGAGGATACATCTTTGATGTATGTGGAAACAGGACTTGAGAAAAAATCCTTGGCATCCTCTTCCCACAGCTGATGTTTAGATCAAACTCCTTTGTCCTGTGATCTTTTTCTTTCTTCTTTTACCCCTCCCAGATGAATTCCAGAAACTGGGAATCCAGTGTTTTTACCACAACCCTTACCTGGTGGACTGGGCCAACGTGCTATTCCTCTGCTGCCTGCCGTCTCAGCTGCCCAATATCTGCCTAGAAATTCAAACCCACCTAGAGAAAGGTTGCATCGTGTACAGCTTCGTGGCTGCTGTCCCAATAGCCAGGTATCCTGTTACGGTGAGCATAGCGCTGGCAGGACTGCTCTGGCCCCTAATACCTGGCTCCTCCTCCCCGACATCCCCCCAGCTCCCCACCCCTTGGATTTGGTTGTTCCTGGTAATGAGGTGGAAGCAGCTTCATCAGCAACAGCCAGCCAGCCTTGCTGATCGTGTCTTCCCCACTTCTCCATAAACAGCTCTCGTGGGGTGGAACATTCTCTTCGAAGTGACAATGTTTAGAACTGCAATGGAGCATTGCTTCCCACCACTCGACGCTGACCAGTATTCCTCTTGCGCATCAAGGGAAGGGAAGACCATAGATCAGCAATGTGAAAAGTGACTGACAGCATGTGTCAAATATTATTCTTGTACCTCTACTGTCCAGTAGAGTGCCTGGCAGAGACAACATTCACTAAGTGTCAGTTAGGTAGATGCAGAACAAGGCAGCTAAGAAGTAGTGCCCTCAGCCCTGCCTCCACCTACGTTCGCCTCTGAGCGGTGCTATGCAGGGCAGGAGGTCCACAGGGTGGGATGTGATCCAACCCGGTGGATCCTGTAGTGGTTTATGGGAGTCCTGGCTCCGCACTCCATGTCTTGGGGACTTTCCTTTCAGGTTGAAACTTCTACTGAACCACACCAATATCTTGCGGCCTCAGTATCAGTGTGTTGAAAATGTCAACATCTGGGGGGCTGGTAAGGACATCACAGCTGCCCTCCAAGATCCTGTGATTCTTCAGGCTACTTGCCCCTACAGTGCTGCTGGTAATGGCTTGCCATGTTTTTAGTACTTTTTAAAAAAAAGATTTATTTAGTAATCTATTCATGAGAGACACACAGAGAGGCAGAGATACAGGCAGAGAGAGAAGCAGGCTCCCTGCAGGGGACTCTTTGGATCCCTTTGGAACTCTTTTGAAAGTTCCTTTCCTTTCGGCCTGGAGCTGTTTTATAATCCCAGTGTGTGCGTGTGTGTACGTGTGTGTGTGTGTGTGTCTTGGGTATGTGCATGGGGGGGGGTGCAAGCTGGACATGTTCTCAGCTATTTAGGTTTTTTTTGTTTTGGTTTTTCTTTAAAGATTTTATTTGAGAGAGAGACAGAGCACACAAGTGGGGGGAGGGGCAGAGGGAGAAGCAGACTCCCTGCTGAGCAGGAAGCCTGACATGGAACTTGGTCTTAGGACCCTGGGATCATGACCTGAGCCAAAGGCAGATGCTCAACCAACTGAGCCACCTAGGCACCCCTCAGCTATTTAGCGTTTGAATGAGAACAGTTTTGGTGGCAAAAAGCACATGTCTTACAGGGAAAGCAGAAAAATCTGAGAGTATTTGGACCGGTTAAGGCTGAACTGGAAACAGCCAGAGGTAAGAGCCGATTTAAACAGTAGCATGTGGGATCCCTGGGTGGCTCAGTGGTTAGGTGCCTGCCTTCGGCCCAGGGCGTGATCCTGGGGACCCGGAATCAAGTCCCACATCGGGCTCCCTGCGTGGAGCCTGCTTCTCTCTCTGCCTGTGTCTCTGCCTCCCTCTCTCCCTCTCATGAATAAATAGATAAAATCTTAAAAAAAACAAAAAACGTAGGATGTGATGTCTGGCACCAAATGGCTTTTCCCTGCTCTAATCTTGCATTTTTCCGTGGTCTCTTCTCCTTGCTAGAATGATCATTCTAGAGACTTCTAAAGATACTTTTGCCATTAGCAATGTCAATGTACTAATGTACATGTACATGTACCAATGTACAATGTACTAATGTAATACAGTAGTCATACCTGTCCTCCTGTGGTAGGGTTAACACACAATTTATTATAATGGGCACGATTAGAGCTCTTGGCTTACAAAGAGGAGTGTTTACTTATCTTCAAGTTCATATGACCAGCCTGTCTTGGAAAAAAGTTACTTAGCTGTTCACTGTCTAGGGTTTGTCTTATGTTCTAGGCAAACCCTTTTGGTGGTGCTAACTGGTATTTCCCTTCCCATTAACATGTAGGGGGAATAATCCTCAACATCAAGTGGTTGGAGGGAGTGTTTCATGCAGCACTAAACATTTGCACCGCAAAGGACATGCCCCACTTACAAGTGCTGCAGCTTCTGAATGAACTCTTCCTCTCTGTGCACTTTGAAGACTGTGAAAAAGATGAAGCATCTTGCCCCAAATTTCAATTACATGATTTTGTTGACCAGGTCTATACCAAGCACCTGCCTCAGCGAAGGTAAGGCATCAGATGGCTGGCTATTCTAACTTCTACCACACTTGTCTTAGCAGGTGCTTTTTCCCTCCTTTTTTTCCTTTCATGTTACCTTTAAAATTTCATAAAAATACTATATTCTTGTCAAAAATGCAACTAGTGGAAAAGTAAAAGCCCTCTTTTGCCCCCCAAACACCATTTCATAGACTTTACCTCCAATGGATTTTATGTTTTGTCTCTTAATCTACGCGTTTACAAACATATATTTATATTGTGATGGTATTTGACCACGTATGCATATCCATATCTGTACATTTTAGAAACATGGGGACTATGTATACTGATTTTTCACTTGCTATATTGTGGACACCATTCTATGTCGATACAATCATAACTGTTTCATTTATGAACAACTGCATAGGTATCCATTAGATACATTATTTTATCAAATTTATATATCTTATTTCTCCTTTTTTTTTAAAGATTTTATTTATTCGTGAGAGACACAGAGAGAGAGGCAGAGACACAGGCAGAGGGAGAAGCAGGCTCCCTGCAGGGGAACCCGATGCGGGGCTTGATTCCAGGACCCCAGGATGATGTCCTGAGCCAAAGGCAGACACTCAACCACTGAGTCACCCAGGCATCCCTATCTTATTTCTTCTTGATGGCAATGTGGTTTTCCCATGCCCTAAATTCTGAATAAGAGGCTGCAACTGAGCATTCTCATACTTACTTTGCAAACTTGTATTCTTGGCTGAATATCTAGAAGAATATTTCTGGGTCAAAGTTTATATATATCTTCTGTTTGGTAGGTATTCCCAAATTACTTATCAAAAACATGGTGCTTATTTACATTTCCACCATTGCGCCATTTCTCTATAGCTTGATTACTATAAGATCTTTTTTTTTTAAGATTTTATTTACTTATTCATGAGAGACAGAAAGAGAGAGAGAGAGAGGCAGAGACACAGGCAGAGGTAGAAGCAGGCTTCATGCAGGGAGCCCGACATGGGACTCGATCCCCGGTCTCCAGGATCAGGCCCTGGGCTGAAGGCGGTGCTAAACCGCTGAGCCACCTGGGATACCCAGGATCAATCTTTTTAATCTTTAATAAGCTAAAAGGGAAAAATTATTGCTTTTGTTACCAGTAACTTCCATGCCACTAAATTCACTGGACACTTAATTTAATTTAATTTAAAGATTTTATTTATTTTGAGAGAGAGAGAGAGCATAGAACAGGGGGTGGAGGGTGGGTAGGGGTGAATCCCAAGCAGGTTCCATGCCCAACATAAGGTTCAATCCCACAACCCCAAAACTATGATTCAAGCTGAAAACAAGAGTCAGATAACCAACCAACTGAACTGCCCAGAGTCCCCTATTTTGAATATTTTCAGTGATTTTTAAAAAGTCTCTAAATATTTCTTTTTTATGTAGCATCTATTGTCATTTCACTATGCAATACTATCTCTTATCCCTCTGAGAATGTAAATGAGAGAATTTTTTTTCTTGTGTGAGGAACCTGTTTCCTTCAGGCTATTTTCTGATCATTTGTTTTGGTCTCTATCCTTCATTTGACTTTTAGACAAGTATATGGAGAACTTTGACTGCTCATATTTAAGATCCTGGTACTAGAAAGTTGCTTGGAAATTCTGCAGTCAAATGCTATACCCCTGAGCTATACCTATACCCTCTTTTGGGAACTCTGTGTTTGCTACTGTGGCCTTTACTACAGAGTGATTTGATCAGCTGTTTCCTTGGGAAACCTTGAATTTTGGTATCTCTAAGCATTTGGGGCCTAACTTGGGGAAGAAACCTGTATATGTATGTAAGAAGAAGGGTGGTCTTATCACTAGATTTTTTTTTTTACTTTATTTCCCCTTTATTCGGCAAATCCTTTTTTTGTCCCCCTGTTCAGAGATGCTCTCATTGACCCTTCCAGAGAATAAATCTTCTGTTGGGGAGGACTGTACAGCATTGGGTAGGGTGCTGTGAAAGTTTCTCTCCTTTTTTAAAAATTTCAAACCATCGTCCTACTTTTAGCCCCCTTTCGTTTCTACTTCTTGATGTACTTCCTGAGTCTTTTGTGGGTTCTATGATGTAAATGGATAGTGTCTTGGTTGCTGTTGCTGACTTCAGATTCAGCTCAGTGTGATCATTTGTCCATATTTTTTCCAGCTTTCAACTTGTTTTTCCTGTGTTCTCTCTTATTTTATTCTTCATCTATTTTCCTTTTGGATTGTTTGCTCTTATTTATTGTTTTATGAAAGATTTTTAGTAGGAATATGTTATGTATATTAGAAACAGTTTTCATATTTCTTTTTCTTTTTTGTTTTGTTTTGTTTTCTTTCTTTTTCTTTTTGGTAACATTTGCTGTTCAGGGATTCCAATTTTTGTAGTCAAAATTATCAAATCTTTTCTTTATGACTTTAGAGTTTCAAGTCATACTTATTAAGAACCTCTTCATCCTAAAATATTCTATATTTTCTTCTCGTATTTTATTTCTTTAAATATTTAAATCTTTAATCAGTTTGGGTTTTTATCTTCTACTCATTTTGGAAAGCCAATTGTCCTAACATTATTTATAGAGTAGCCATTCTTCTTTCTATCAATTTGAAATATGATTTTTATCATTTGCTAAACTATAAGATATTTGTGGATATATTTTTGGACGGTATTCTGAACTGTAGACCTATTTTTCTATTCCCATGCTATGATTAATTGCTATAATGTGTATCCATATTTTGGTATCTGGTAGACCAAGTCCTCTTCATATTATTTTCCAGAATCTTAATCCTTCCTGCACTTTTTTGAAAGATTTTATTTGTTTAATAATGACAGAGAGAGAGAGAGAGAGAGAGAGAGAGAGAGGCAGGGATGCAGGCAGAGGGAGAAGCAGGCTCCATGCAGGGAGCCCAGTGTGGGACTCGATCCCAGGTCTCCAGGATCACATCCCGGGCTGAAGGTAGTGCTAAACGGCTGGGCCATCAGAGCTGCCCCCTTCTTACACTTTTGTTCTTACACTTTTATTCTTCATGTGAATTTTTAAAAAGATTTTATTTATTGATTTGAGAGAGAGAGAGACAGAGCACCAGCAGCGGGAGAGGCAGAGGGAGAGGCAGAGGGACAAGCAGACTCCCCACTGAGCATGGAGCCTGACTCTGGGGCTCGACCCCAGGACTCTGAGATCATGACCTGAGTTGAAGGCTGATGCTTAACTGACTGAGTCACGCAAGGGTCCCTTTCATGTGAATTTTTAAAAAATGACCTTAAAAATTAGAAAGTAACGTATTTGTAGTAAATAAGATATCAACTAAAATGTACCAAAGTGAAAGCACCTCCGTAAAATCCCATTCTCCAGAGGTAACTGCTAGTAATATTTGCTGTGACAAGTGAACTTGAAAATAGGCTGTTTTGTTTTTTTAATGTTAAATCACTGAGTAGGATGTTTGTTCTTGGCTTCTGGCATTGTCTATCAAATTGAAAATGAAGGAGTGATAGAATATCATCATTTTGTAATCTCTAATGAAATAATGAATCTAGGCAACATTAGGTGAAAAGTTGATAGGGGAACTTTATAATCAATAGATCAGATGAAATCCATTAATCAGACTTAACACTGCAGAGGGAGAGACATTGTGTTTCTGAATAAAAATAGACATAGATTTTTAAAAAATAGACACATATGAAATAGTCTTATTTAAAAAAAAAAGGCAAACCTGAATTCAAGCAAAACTATAGACATAAATTCAAGAGATAGGAAAGTGTTAAATTACCATGAGATATAATCAGCAAAATCCAGAATCTGGGAATTTTTAGAGGATAAACAACCCAATTTCTTCAGCAAGTGAACTGCAAAAGAAAAAAAAAAAGAGGAAGGGGAACTTACAGATTAAAAAAAAAAAGGACTTAAAAGTCACATTAACTGAGTGTGTGGGTGGCTCAGTCGGCTCAGCATCTGCCTGCAGCTCAGGTCATGATCTTGGGATCCTGGGATGGAGCCCCAGTGTTGGGCTCCCTGCTCAGTGGTGAGTCTGCTTGTCCCTCTGCCCCTCCCCCTGCTCATGCTCTCTCTTTCTCAGATCAATAAATAAGTCTTTTAAAAAAAGTTACATTAACCAAAATGTATGTGTAGACTTGGTTTCATATCTCTCCCTTCCTTTAATTAACATTGTAAACAACATAAATAGATTTCCTAATATTAAACTTTCATTGAATTCTTAAAATAAACTCTACTTAATAATATACTTCCAGATCTGTTTTGGTTATATTTTATTTAAGACATTTACATCTATACTCAAAAAATAAAATTGGTCTGTAGTTATCAAATTTGGTATTAATATTGTGTTAAACTTATAGAATTAGGAAGCCTTTATGTTCTGGAACAGAACATAGAAATTAGAGATTTCTTGAAGATTTTTTTTTCTTGAAGATTTTTTATTTTATTTTATTTTATTATTTATTTATTTTATTTTTTAAATTTATTTATGATAGTCACAGAGAGAGAGAGAGAGGCAGAGACATAGGCAGAGGGAGAAGCAGGCTCCATGCACCGGGAGCCCGACTGTGGGATTCGATCCCGGGTCTCCAGGATCGCGCCCTGGGCCAAAGGCAGGCGCGGAACCGCTGCGCCACCCAGGGATCCTCATTTTATTTATTTATTTATTCATGAGAGACACAGAGAGAGGGGCAGAGACATACACAGAGGGAGAAGCAGACTCCCTCCCTCCCTGCGGGGAGCCTGATACAGAACTTGATCTCAGGACCCTGGGATCATGACCTGAGCCAAAGGCAGACATTCAACCACAGAGACACCCAGGCATTCTGACTGGTCAATTTTTTAATTTAAGCATTTCCACTTTTATCTTTACTAATCAGTTCCTTCCTCCTTTCTTTTGAATTATTTTGTGGCTCTATTTCTTAGCTTTTGAATATTTATGGCTCATTTAATTTCAATCACACTATTACTATAAAAATAGTAAGAGCTAAGAATTCTCATCTAGCCTCTTTAGCTATGTGCTATTCAAATAGCTATGTGCTATGTGATCTTCAAAATGAAAATGACATTGTTGGGCACAAAGTTCCTGTGTTATTCAAATCCACTATATCCTTGCTACTCAGACTAGTTGGGATCTGTGCCATCATCTGGGAATTTGTTTAGAAGCACAGAATCTGCAGCCCCACTCCGGTTATATGGAATCAGAATCTGCATTTTTCCAACATCCCAAGTGATAACCACATCAAGGTTGGAAAAATGCTGCTCTACATTCTTTTTCATCAGATGATTTGTTAGAGTGATAGGCATTTCTGATATAGTCAAGATCTAGAACCCGTCTACTACTGAGTGATCTTTCATTTGAGTGACCATCTCCTCCTCAACTTCACAGTTGTTATTCTGTTTTCTATTTCCATATTTTGTCATTTCTAGAATGTTATATGAATGGAATCATAGAGTATGTTACCTTTTGGGATTGTCCTTTTTCATTCAGCATAATTCTCTGGAGATTTCTCCAACTTTCTATGTATATTAATAGTTTATTTCTTCATATTGCTGAGTAGTATTCCTAGCATGGATGTACCATACTTTAATCATTCATCTGTTGAAGGACTCCTGAGTGGTTTCCAGGTTTTGGCTGTTTTGTTTTGTTTTTGTTTTTGTTCAGTTTTTGGCTATTATGAATAAAGTTGCTATGATCATTCATGCACAGGTCTTTTTGGAAGATAAATTTTCATTTCTCTGGGATAAATGCTCATGGTTGCAATTCCTAGGTCATTTGGTAGTTGCATGCTTTTTGTTTTGTTTTGGTTTTTGCTTTTGTTTGTTTTTTAAGACACTGCCAGGGCAGCCCGGGTAGCAGAGTGGTTTAGTGCTTCCTTCAGCCCAGGGCATGATCCTGGAGACCGGGGATGGAGTCCCATGTCAGGCTCCCTAGATGGAGCCTGCTTCTCCCTCTGCCTGTGTCTCTGCCTCTCTCCCCACCCCACCCCCCCATGAATAAATAAGATCTTAAAAAAAAAAAGACACTGCCAAACTTTTTCAGCATGATTGTACCATTTTACATTATCACTAGCAATGTATGATCCAATTTTTCTGTATCCTCACCAGCATTTGGTGTTGTCACTAATTTTTGTTTTACCATTACATCTGTAGATCAATTTGTGGACAATTGACATCTTTATTTATTTTTTAATTTTTTTAGAATTGACATCTTTATTATGTTGAGTTTTCCCATCCACGAACACAGTATTTCTCCATTTATTTAGATATTCTTTAGTTCATCAGCATTTTGTAGTTTTCAGTATGTCTTTTTTCTTCTTTTTATTTTATTTATTTATTTATTTATTTATTTATTTATTTATTTATTTATTTATTTATTTATTTTATGATAGTCACACACACACACACACAGAGGCAGAGACATAGGCAGAGGGAGAAGCAGGCTCCATGCACTGGGAGCCCCACGTGGGATTCAATCCCGGGTCTCCAGGATCGCACCCTGGGCCAAAGGCAGGCGCCAAACCACTGCGCCACCCAGGGATCCCCTTCTTCTTTTTTTTAAAGACTTACTTATTGGGCTGCATGGGTAGCTCAGTCAGTTAAGCATCTGCCTTCGGCTCAGGTTATGATCTCAGGGTCCTGGGATCGAAGCCCTACACTGGGCTCCTTGCTCAGCAGGAAGTCTTTTTCTCCCTCTGCCTCACCACTGCTCATGCTCCCTCTCTCCCTAATTCACTTTTCTGTCTCAGACAAATAAAACCTTTTTTTTAAAAGAAAGATTTCTTTATTTGAGAGAGAGCATGAGCATGAACAGGAGGGGCAGAGGGAGAGGGAAAAAGAATCTCAAGCACACTCCACTTGAGCCTGTAACTGGTTGCAGGGCTCAGTCTCACAACCCTGACTCCATGATCTAAGCCAAAACCAAGAGTTGGCTATTTAACAAACTTTGCCACCCAGGCACCCCCATATGCAACTCTTATGCGTGTTTTGTTAGATTTACATCTAAGTATTACTTTTGTGTGTATGTGAATGGAATTGCATTTTTAATTTTGATGCCTAAGAGTTCATTACATATATATATATAAATAATATATATATTATTTATATAATAATATATATATATAATAGGTTTTTGTATTGTTTGTTTCCCGTGACTTTGCTGAACTCATTTATTAGTTCTGGGACTTTTTAAAAATAGATTCTTTGGAATTTTCTACATAAACAATCATGTTACTTATAAGTAGGGACAGATTCATTTTGTCTTTTCAGTCTGTATGCTTTTTTTTTCCTTTTCTTGCCTTATTGCATTGTCTACAACTTCTAGTACTATGTTAAATAAGAAGGGTGAGTATAGGTATCCTTGCCTTTACTCTGATCTTTTAATGCTGTAACAATCCTATATCTTAATACTTTTTAACTTAAATTCTGCTCTAAAGTAATACTTAATGTTGCTCTGTTTTATTTGCATATTACCTTCTACTTTTGTTATACAATTGAAGAGGTTATCTTTATTTTTCTTTTTTATATTTTATTTATTTATTTGAGAGAGAGAGAGAGAACATGAGCAAGAGGCAGGGGAAAGGGCAGAGGGAAAGGAAGAAGCCACCAGGCACCCCTGAAGAGGATATCTTAAAATAAATGAGATCTTTTCTATTTTTTAAAGATTTATTTATTTAAAAAAAAGATTTATTTATTTACTTACTTTAGTGGGGAAGTAGGGTGATAAGGGGCAGAGGGAAAGGGAGAGAGATTCTCAAGCAGACTCTGCACTGAGCATGGAGATTCTCAAGCAGACTCTGCACTGAGCATGGAGCCCAATGCAGGGCTTGATCTTATGACCCTGAGATCACAACCTGAGTGGAAACCAAGAGTCAGATGCTTAACTGACCATACCACCCAGATCTTTACCATTCTTTTAAATTTTTAAAAAGATTTTATTTATTTATTTGGGTGAGAGAGAGAGAACAAGAGACAAAGAAGATGATTCCCTGCTGAGCAGGAAGCCCAAGGACCCAGGGAGCATGATCTGAGCTGAAGGCAGATGCTTAACCAAGTGAGCCACTAGGTGCCCCTGATCTTTTCTATTCCTAATGTCCATTATCTTATGGATTCTATTTCTTTTTTCTCTTTCTTTTTTTTTTTAAGAGAGAGTGAGCATATGCATGTGTATACACATAGACACACAGACACGCACACCCTCATATGAGTGGGGGGGAGGGGCAGAGAGCGAAGGAGAGAGAGAATCTTAAGCAGGTTCCACACCCAGCACGGAGCTGATACAGGTTTCAATCTCATGACCCTAAGATCATGATCTGAGTTGAAATCAAGAGTCTAATGCTTAACCCACTGAGCCACCCAGGCACCCCTTATATATTCTATTTCTAAATTCAAAGGAAATATACTGAAAAGGATGTCAGTGTCATTATTATAATCATTCTTTAATTATGAATTCCATCCCAAATGTACTTAGAAAATGTACATATGGGCAGCCCTGGTGGCCCAGCGGTTTGGCGCCGCCTTCTGCCGGAGTGTGATCCTGGAGACCTGGGATCGAGTCCCACCTCAGGCTCCCTGCATGGAGCCTGCTTCTCTCACTCTGCCTGTGTCTCTGCCTTTCTGTCTGTCTGTCATGAATAAATAAATAAAATCTTTTTTAAAAATGTGCATATGTACAAAATGCATAAGTACAATTAAATCTACATAGTGAATAGTTGTAGCTGAATGTTTACGAATTTTAATTAATTTGATATAGAAAATAAAGAACCATGTTTCCAATAGTCAGAAAACTTTCTTTAAATGTTTAACAGCCAAATCAGATGTGTTAAACAGATATAAAAAAGTAACAGTATTTTTTTTTTTTCACTCCAGGCCTTTTCCCTGGTTTGATTTGACTGCTGTGCAACTCAAGGAAACTCCCTTTACTCAGCATTTCTCAACCAGTACTGCTTTCCGGGACCATCTTACCTATCTATACTGTGATTTGTTTGGTATCTCCTTAACCAAAGAGCAGCAGCCAGGGGTTTCCATAAGCTCTTCCTCAAAATAAGAGAAGAGACCTCAGAAACTTGGATTTTTTTTTCCCCTCCACAATGCTTGTAGCCAGATTATCACAGCTGACTTTGGGAATCATGTAACTGTACTGGGTTTGCCACATGTTTGGGCATTAAGGAATTAGAAAACCTTACTAATGGTTCTTTGAAATATAAAATAAAGCAAGAGGTCTTATCCATCAGTATAATTGGGTATGTCTGGCTTTTGGAAGCAACCAAATTAAACTATATAACCTGACACACTTAAGCTGCTTCCCCAGGAAAGCCATGTTAATATAAATGATCTTTCTTCTAAAAGCTAAATTCGAGAAGTTATGTTATTATTCGACAGTACATACTGCAGCTTGTTTTCCTGTAGCAATGTGTAACTGAAAAATGATACAGCTCGATTTTCCTAACATTTTGGATAAAAAAATAAAATGTGGGGTAAACAATCTTAAGTGAATTATGGCTCATTTCATGCTTATTTCAGTTATATATGATTATTCTGGAACTATCTTATTTAAAGCTGTTCCCATTTAAAATTTTTTATTTAAAAGTTTTTTATTCAAATTCAATTAACATATAATGTATTATTGGTTTCAGAGGTAGAGGTCAGTGATTCATCAGTCTTATATAACACCCAGTGCTCTTTAGATCAAGTGCCCTCCTTAATGCCCATCACCCAGTTACCCCATCCCCTCACCCCCTTCCCCTCCAGTGACCTTCAGTTTGTTTCTTATGATTAAGAGTCTCATAATTTGTTTTCCTCTCTGATTTCATCTTGTTTTATTTTTCCTCTCTTCCTCTACGATCTTTTGTGTTATTTCTTCAATTCCACATATGAGTAAGGTCATATGATAATTGTCTTTCCCTGATTGACTTATTTCACTTAGCATAATACCCTCTAGTTCCATCCATGTTGTTGCAAATGGCAAGATTTCATTTTTTCTGATGGCTGAGTAGTATTCCATTGTATATATATATCACATCTTCTTTACCATTCATCTGTCAATGGATATCTGAGCTCTTTCCATGGTTTAGCTATTGTGGACATTGCTCTATAAACATTGGGGTAGAGTTGTCACTTTGGATCAGTACATTTGTATCTTTAGGGTGAATATCTAGTAATGCAATTGCTGGGTCGTAGGGTAGCTCTATTTTCAAATTTTTGAGGAACCTCCATAGTGTTTTCCAGAGTGGCTGCACCAGCTTGCATTCCCACCAACAGTGTAAGGGGGTTCCCCTTTCTCTGCATCCTCACCCACATTTTCATTTCATGACTCGTTATTTTTAGCCATTCGGACTAGTGTGAGCTGGTATCTCATGGTGTTTTTGATTTGTATTTCCCTGATGCCAAGTGATATTGAGCATTTTTTTCACGTGTCTGTTGGCCATTGTATGGCTTCTTTGGAGAAAGGTCTTCTGCCCATTTCTTTATTGGATTATTTGTTCTTTGGGTGTTGAGTTTGATAAGTTCTTTTTTTTTTTTGATAAGTTCTTTATAGATCTTGGATACTAGCCCTTTATCTGATATGTCATTTGCAAATACCTTTTCCCATTCTGTCATTTATCTTTTGGTTTTGTTGACTATTTCCTTGGCTGTGCAAAAGCTTTCTATCTTGATTAAGTCCCAATAGTTCATTTTTACCTTTGTTTCCCTTGCCTTTGGAGATGTGTCTAGTGAGATGTTGCTGCAGCCAAGGTTATAGGAGTTGCTGCTTGTGTTCTCCTCTAGGATTTTGATGGATTCATGTCTCACATATAGGTCTTTCATCCATTTTTAGTCTATTTTTGTGTGTGGTGTAAGAAGTGGTCCATTTCATTCTTCTGCATGTGGCTGTCCCAACACCGTTTATTGAAGAGACTGTCTTTTTTCCATTGGATATTCTTTCCTGCATTGTTAAAGATTAGTTGACCATGGAATTGAGGCCCACTTCTGGGTTCCCTATTCTGTTCCATTGATCTATGTGTCTATTTTTGTGCCAGTACTGTACTATCTCTGATTATCGCTTATGCAATAGAACTTGAAGTCCAGAATTGTGATGCCACCAACTTTGGTTTTCTTTTTCAACATTCTTTTGGCTACTCAGGGTCTTTTCTGGTTCCATACAAATTTTAAGATTATTTATTCCAGTTCTGTGAAAAAAGCTGATGGTATTTTGATAGGGATTGCATTGAATGTATAGATTTTTCTAGATAGCATAGATATTTTGACAATAATTGTTACTCCAATCCATGAGCATGGAATGTTTTCCCATTTCTTTGTGTCTTCCTCAATTTTTTTCATGAGGGTTCTATGGTTTTCTGAGTTTAGATCCCTTTCCTCTTTGTTAGGTTTATTCCTAGGTATCTTACGGTTTTTGGTACAATTGTAAATGGAATTGACTCCTCAATTTCTCTTTCTTCTCTCTCATTGTTTGTATATAGAAATGCAACTGATTTCTGTGCATTGATTTTATATCTTGCCACTTGGCTGAATTGCATGCTGTATGAGTTCTAGCAATTTTGGGGTGGAATCTTTTGGGTTTTCCACATGGAGTATCATGTCATCTGTGAAGAGTGAGAGTTTGATTTCTTCTTTGCCAATTCAGATGCCTTTTATCTCTTTTTGTCATCTGATTGCTGAAGCTAGGACTTTCTAGTACCATGTTGAACAACAGTGGTGATATTAGACATCCTGCCATGTTCCTGACCTCAAGGGAAAAGCTCTCAGTTTTTCCCCATTGCAAATGATATTTGCTGTGGGTTTTTTGTATATGGCTTTTATGATATTGAGGTATGTTCCCTCTATCCTTAACACTGTGAAGAGTTTTAATCAAGAAAGGATGCTGTAGGGATCCCTGGGTGGCGCAGCGGTTTGGCGCCTGCCTTTGGCCCAGGGCGCGATCCTGGAGACCCGGGATCAAATCCCACGTCAGGCTCCCGGTGCATGGAGCCTGCTTCTCCCTCTGCCTGTGTCTCTGCCTCTCTCTCTCTCTCTCTGTGTGTGACTATCATAAATAAATAAAAAAATTAAAAAAAAAAAGAAAGGATGCTGTAATTTGTCAAATGCTTTTTCTGCATCTATTGAGGATCATATGGTTCTTGTCCTTTCTTTTATTAATGTAGTGTATCACATTGATTTATTTGCAGATATTAAACCACCCTTGCAACCCAAGAAAAAATCCCATTTGGTCATGGTGAATAGTCCTTCTAATGTATTGTTGGGTCCTATTGGCTAGTATCTTAGAATTTTTGCATCTGTATTCATCACTGATATTGGTCTGTAATTCTCCTTTTTTGGTCGGGTCTTTGTCTGGTTTTGGGATCAAGGTAATCCTGGCCTCCTAGAAAGAGTTTGCACATTTTCCTTCCATTTCTTTTTTTTTTTTTCCATTTCTATTTTTTGAAGCAGCTTCAGAAGAATAGATAGTAATTCTTCTTTAAATGTTTGGTAGAATTCCCCTGGGAAGCCATCTGCCCTGGACTCCTGTTTATTGGGAGATTTTTGATTATTGCTTCAATTTCCTTTCTGGTTATGGGTCTATTCAGGTTTTCTATTTCTTCCTGTTTTGGTAATTTATACGTCTCTAGGAATTTATTCCAGTGCCAAATTTGGCATACAGTTGTTCATAATATGTTCTTATAATTTTTTGTAAAACTTCAGTGTTGGTTGTGATTGTTCCTCTTTTGTTCATGATTTTATTTGGTCCCTTTCTCTTTCCTTTTTGATAAGTCTGACCAGGGGTTTGTTAATCTTATTAATTCTTTCAAAGAACCAGCTCCTAGTTTCATTGATCTATTCTACTGTTCTTTTGGTTTCTATTTAATCGATTTCTGCTCTAATCTTTATTAATTCTCTTCTTTTGCTGGGTTTAGGCTTTATTTACTGTTCTTTCTCCAGCTCCTTTAGGTGTAAGATTAGGTTGTATATCTGAGACCTTTCTTGTTTCTTGAGAAAGGCTTGTATTGCTATATACTTCCCTCTTAGGACCACTTTTGCTGCATCCCAAGGGTTTTAAACAGTTGTGTTTTCATTTTCATTTGTTTCCATGAATTTTTAAAATTCTTCTTTTTTTTAAATATATTTTTTAAAAATTTATTTGACAGAGAGAGAGCATAAGCAGGGGGAGTGGCAGGCAGAGGGAGAAGGAGAAGCTGATTCCCCACTGAGCAGGGAGCCCAATGTGGGGCTTGATCCTGGGATCATGACCTGAGCTGAAGGCAGACACTTAACTGACTGAGCCACCCAGGTGCCCCTAAATTTTCCTTTAATTTCCTGGCTGACCCATTCATTCTTTAGTAGGATGCTCTTTAGCCTCCACATTTGACTTCTTTCCAAATGTCCTCTTGTGATTGAGTTCCACTTTCAAAGCACTATGGTCTAAAAATGTGCAGGGAGGGCAGCCTCGGTGGCACAGCGGTTTAGCGCTGCCTGCAGCCCGGGGTGTGATCCTGGAGACCAGGGATCGAGTCCCACGTTGGGCTTCCTGCATGGAGCCTGCTTCTCCCTCTGCCTGTGTCTCTGCCTCTCTCTCACTCTCTCTGAATAAATAAATAAATAAATCTTTTAAAAAAATGTGCAGGGAATGATCCCAATCTTTTGATACCAAATTGAGACCTGATATGTGACCCAATATGTGATCTATTCTGGAGAATGTTCTATGTGCACTCGAGAAGAATGTGTATTCTGTTGCTTTAGGTTGGAATGCTCTGAATATATTTGTGAAGTCCATCTGGTCCAGTGTGTCCTTTAAAACCTTTGTTTTCCCTGCTGATCTTCTGCTTAGATGTGATCTGCCCATTGCAGTGAGTGAGGTGTTAAAGTCACCTACTATTATTGTATTATCATTGATTTGTTTCTTTAATTTTTTTATTGATTTATATAATTGGGTATTCCCGTGTTAGGGGCATAAATATTCACAATTGTTAGATTTTCATGTTAGATAGACCCTTCAATTATGATACAGTGTCTTCCCTCATCTCTAATTACAGTCTTTGGTTTAAAATCTAATTTATCTGATATAAGGATTGCTACCCCAGTTTTCTTTTGATGTCCATTAGCATGATAAATGGTTTTCCACTCCCTCACTTTAAATCTGGAGGTGTCTTTGGATCTAAAACAAATCTCTTGGACACAGTGTATCAATGGGACTTGCTTTTTATCCAATCTGATACCCCATGTTTTTTGATTGGGGCATTTAGCCCATTTACATTCTAAGTAACTATTGAAAAATATGGATTTATTTCCATTGTATTGCTTGTAAAGTCACTGTTTCTGTATATTGTCCGTGTTCCTTTCTGGTTTGTTACTTTTGTGCTCTCTCTTTGCTTAAAGGATCCCTTTTAATATTCCATACAGGGCTGGTTTAGTGATCACAAATTCTTTGAATTTCTATTTGTCCCAGAAGATTTTTCTCTCTCCTATTTTGAATGACTTCCTAGTTGGATAAAGTATTCTTGGGTGCATATTCTTCTCATTTAGCACCTGAATATATCATCCCAGTCCTTTCTAGCCAGCCAGGTCTCTGTGGATAGGTCAGCTGCTGGTCTAATGTTTCCACCCTTATAGATTATGGACTGCTTGTGCTGAGCTGCTTTCAGGATTTTCTTTGTCTCTGAGATTTGCAAGTTTCACTATTATATTTTGGGTGTTGACCCATTTTTATTGATTTTAAGAGGGGTCCTCTGTTCCTCCTGGACTAGAAGGCCTGTTTCCTTCCCCAGATTAGGGAAATTCTCCACTATATTTTGCTCCAATATACCTTCTCTCCCCTCCCTTCCTCTTCTAGGATCCCAATTGTTCTAATATTGTTTTGCTTCATGGTGTCACTTAACTCTTGACTTTTCCTCTCATGATTCAGTAGTTGTTTATCTTTTTCTTAGCTTCTTTATTCTCCATCATCTTGTCTTCTAAATCACTAATTCTCTCTTCTGACTCATTTATCTTAATGGCTAGAGCCTCCATTTTTTATTGCATGTCATTAATAGCCTTTTTTATTTTGACTTGATTAGATTTTAGTTCTTTTATTTCTCCAGAAAAGGATTCTCTAGTAACTTCTATTCTTTTTTCAAGCCGTTTGTATCTTTATAATCCTTACTATGAACTCTAGTTCTTTTTTTAAAAAAAAGATTTTATTTATTATTCATAGAAACACAGAGGGAGAATGAGAGGCAGAGGGAGAAGCAGGCTTCATGCAGGGAGCCCAATGTGGGACTAGATCCAGGGTTTCCAGTATCACGCCCTGGGCTGTAGGCGGCGCTAAACCGCTGCGCCACCGGGGCTGCCCTGAACTCTAGTTCTGACATCTTACTTATATCCACACTGCTTAGGTCCCTGGGAGTCAGTACTGCCTTCTGTTCTCTTTTTTGAAGTGAGTTTTTCCATCTTGTCATTCTGTCCAGCGAAGAATAGATGAATGAGAGAACAAAATGTCAACAATCACCCCAGAGAAATATACACTAAACAAATCAGAAGAGACCTGAAACTGAAAAAAAGAAAATTAAAGAAAAAAAGAGAATATAATCAGAGAGGTGAACAGAACAGAGCAATACAGTGTATCTTGTGTGTATTTTGGTGTTTGTTAGAAAACTAGATCCCAAAATTGTAAAGAAAGAAAAACTTTTATACGTACAAAAATAAAATTAAATACAATGAAAGGATAGGATGTAACTGTAAAAATTAAAATTAAAATTTTTTAAAAGAATTGATAAAATAAGAAATTGGTTGAAAAAGGAAATAGAGGGATCCCTGGGTGGCGCAGCGGTTTAGCGCCTGCCTTTGGCCCAGGGCGCGATCCTGGAGACCCGGGATCGAATCCCACGTCGGGCTCCCGGTGCATGGAGCCTGCTTCTCCCTCTGCCTGTGTCTCTGCCTCTCTCTCTCTCTCTCTCTCACTGTGTGCCTATCATAAATAAATAAAAAAAATTAAAAAAAAGAAAAAGGAAATCGAAAAAGATTAAAACAACTAAAGAATCATGGGGGAAAACATGAATCTATATACTATTTTCCCGCAGCGCTGGAGTTCTGCAGTTCTCAATGTTCAGTAGACTTCATCTTGGCTGCCTGTTCTTGCTGATCTTCTGGGAGAGGGACCGTCGTCCTGATTCTCAGGCATCCTTGCCCCCGGGGAGAATTGCACGACCCTTGCCAGGGTCCAGGCTAAGTAATCTGCTCCAGATTGCTCTAGGTGGCTTTTGCCCCTGGAGGCTTCCCTCGAAGCTTTAGAGGATGAGAGTGGAAATGGTGGCCTCCCAATCTCCAGCCCCGGAGCGGAAAGCTCGGCGCCCCACTCCTCAGTGTGGCCTCCAGGAAAAGCGGTCCATCCCTCCTGTCTCCCTGGTCCCCATCTGCACTCCGAGGTCACCCAGCCCGTGACTGAGCATTTCTATCTCGGGCATGCATCCCTGTTTCAGGTCCCCAAATCCTGCAGACTCCTGCGTTGCGCACCCGTGCCGCTCCTCCCGGGGGAGGGTGGGGGTCTCACTGCGGTGCCGCTGCTTGGGGGAGGGGGTCCCTGCCTGACTGCAGCTGCGCAGACTGTGCTGTTCCGGGCCTGTGGCCACCCCGAGCTGAAAGCCCCCTCCTGGGCTCACTGAGGGCAGCTCGCTTCCTCCCTCTGATGCCTGGGAGCTCTGCCGGTCTTCCTGTGACCCTGGGGATCCTGAGACCGCGGGCGTACCACCTAGGGTTCCGCCCCTGCTTTGCCCCCTGAGCACCTTTGGTGGGGTGGGGACGTCCCTCACCCGAGCAGACTGCTAAAAGTTCTAATTTTGCGCTCCGCTGCTCTATCACTTTCTGGTAGCCGGCGGAGGGAGGCGCTCCCCGCTGCAGTTTACCTTCCCATATATTAACCTTGGATTCACTTCTCCGCACCTCCTACCTTGCAGAGAGTGGTCGCTTTTCTTTCTTCTTTCTTTCTTTCTTTCTTTCTTTCTTTCTTTCTTTCTTTCTTTCTTTCTTTCTTTCTTCTTTCTTTCTTCTTTTTTTCTTTTTCTTTTTTTAAAGATTTTATTTATTTATTCATAAGAGACACAGGCAGAGGGAGAAGCAGACTCCACGCAAGGAGCCCGATGTGGGACTCAATCCTGGGAGTCCAGGACCAGGCCCTGGGCGGAAGGCAGGCACTAAACCGCTGAGCCACCCAGGGATCCCCTCACTTTTCTATTTGTAGAGTTACAGCTGTTCTTTTCTTAGATCTCCAGTTGAGTTCACCGTGTCTAGCTGAATTCCTGGGACCAGATGAAACTAAGGTCTCCTACTCCTCTGGCATCTTGGACTATTCCCCCCACCCCCACCCCTTTTTAAAGATTTTATTTATTTATTCACGAGAGACACACAGAGAGAGGCAGAGACATAGAGGGAGAAGCAGTCTCCCTGCAAGGAGCCCAATGTGGGACTGGATCCCAGGACTCCAGGTTCACGCCCTGAGCTGAAGGCAGTCTCCCAACCGCTGAGCCACCAAGGTGTCCTTGGACTACCCCTTAAGGTCAGCTCTTTAAACCACTTAAATCATAAAACCATTTTTATAAGTAGCTGGCATTTATATTAAATGGCTAAAGATAATTTTGTAAACTATAGATCTTATTCCTACACTACAAAGCAATTTCCTTTATGTTTTGCAAATACTTTATGTCCTTGATATAGAGTAGAAAACAACAGAAATGAAGTGACCATCAGGTTGAGGAGGAGGACACTGACTATGCTCTGTCATTGAACAGAACCATTGTTTGCTAAATGTAAAAGTGTTTTAAACAAAACCATTCACTATACATGTAAATCACCATGGTGTTAGGTTAATCATTTGCATTTTTCTCCTTTGCATAATTGTGAGCCAGGCAAACTCGGTGGTATGGTGTAGAATGGTCTGAGATAAAATTTTATTGGTATGATTTGGGAAAAAAGTAGGTTCATCATCAGATATGAATGCATGATATAAATGCTAATTTGAGGTACTGTTCCTTTTCTTAGGAAAAAAAAAAAGAATTGGATTGTTTTGACTATTCATTCGGGTGTAGGGAACTTGACAGAGTATATATCATTGCCCTTCTGGATTATGGTAGTCCTTTAGTGGCTTTTAGGATTAAGTGAGGCCAGAAAGAGAAAGAACAGTTAAGTCTATAAAACTAGAGTGGAACTGGAGTCATTCAAGTAAGAAGTATTTTGTCATTTCTTTTGAGCAGTCTAGTCATGGACTGGAGTCTAGCCTGAATTAATTGTTTCCTTTTTCTTTTTCTTTCGTAAACCCAACCCCAAGATCAAGAGTCCCATTCTCTACAGACTGAGCTGGCTGGGTTCCCCTTGAATTTCATTTTATAAAGATCTGGAAGGTACCACATAAAAGAGTCTTGTTAACAAACCCCAGTCCCTATTCTACATTCAATGGTACTTCTATAAACCACGTTGTAAGGATAAATTTTTTAAAATACTAAAAATTTGGGGCAGCCCTGGTGGCTCAGCGGTTTAGCGCCGCCTACAGCTCTCAGGGCAAGATCCTGGAGACCCAAGATGGAGTCCCAGTCAAACTTGTAATTTAAATATTTTTTCTGTTTTTGAGATGTATATAAATCCTCTAACAAGTTGAATAAGTCACCTGCCAGTTTTACATTTTGGGGCTCTTTGGAGCCATGTCTTTGAAATGGGAGTATTGAGGAGGATGGCACCCTATCTCCCTGGCTTAAATGCCTGGTTCTACAAAGTAGCTTCCTGTTTGTCATAAATATATGAGAAGTTTTATTTTTCTATGGATACAGACAGTTAACATGTAAGTAATGGATTGTATCTTCCTGGCTATCTAAAAGGGCAAGATTTCCTTAACTTGATAGTCTTCTTTAGCAGCTAGCCTGTGATGTACATCACTATGTGATTTAATGCTGATCCAATAATACAACTGTTTCTTTTTCTGCATTTGTGGAGAACATTATTTGGGTTGGCAGGAGATTTTACTTTTAATTCCATTTCTGTAACATGTTCCTACTACCAGATGCATTGTTAGCATTTATCAGAGATTCTTGCCATTACCCAGAAAGAGATATATTGCTATCTTTGTTTAAACACCATGCTAAATTGAAACACAAATCAAGGGAAGGTGCTGAGAAGTGGTGATAGAACTAGAAGTGGAGTTAGCAGTTCTAACTCTGATCCTAAATGAAGAAGAGAAGAGATCCCAAGAGGCCACACTTCTTACCCTGAGTAGTTTAATCTTTCAAGGTAAGTGAAATGGCTTTTCCCTATGGTTCAGTGTAATACAATTCTTCATTTTTTCCAGGGGTAGTTATTTTTGGAGCATAATCCTGTAATCCTGCTGCTTGCACAAATTCAGAGAACGTCAAGGAATCAGATTTTACCCCAGTATGACCTTTTTGCTCTAAAAATAAGCCAATATTGTCCCTGTAGGGCAGGGTGATGGAGCGTCTGAACAATGGCTCTTCAATTCCGAGGAGTGCCCGCGTATGCTGAGAAATTACCTACAAAACAAGAATAATTTTTTAAATGAAAATATAACTAAATCAAAGTTATTTACTTATTTTCCTAGGTCTCTTGAATGTTAACCTCTCATTTCTATGGGAAAATAAAACAATGATTCTCCCTCTGCCTGTGTCTCTGCCTCTCTCTCTCTCTGTGTGTGACTATCATAAATAAATAAAAATTTAAAAAAAAAAAAAAAAAAAAAGGGATCCCTGGGTGGCGCAGCGGTTTGGCGCCTGCCTTTGGCCCAGGGCCCGATCCTGGAGACCCGGGATCGAATCCCACATCAGGCTCCTGGTGCATGGAGCCTGCTTCTCCCTCTGCCTGTGTCTCTGCCTCTCTCTCTCTCTGTGTGTGACTATCATAAATAAATAAAAATTTAAAAAAAAAAAAAAGAAAGAAAATAAAACAATGAAATAACACATGGGAAGGCTTAGTAGCCAGGTTCTTCTTTTTTTTTTTTTTTTAAAGATTTTATTTATTTATTAGAATACACAGAGAGGAGAGAGAGAGAGGCAGAGACACAGGCAGAGGGAGAATCAGGCTCCATGCAGGGAGCCTGACATGGGACTCGATCCCCAGTCTCCAGGATCATGCCCTGGGCTGAAGGCGGTGCTAAACTGCTGAGCCACCAGGGCTGCCCTTAGTAGCCAGGTTCTTACCAAAATATAATTCTTAAGAGAAACATTGAGTGATTTACTATCTTTTTGTAAGTTCCATTTAAAGATGCTTCTAGGCCCTTGCATCAGCTTGCCATAGATGGGTTCATTTCCGTCTTTTGGCTGAGCAATCTGATCAACCATATGAGCAGATAATACATTCAGAGTAAGAGCCATGACTATCTCTGGGAAGGTTAATAAATAACTTGTCTAAAAAATAAACAAACAAACAAAAAAACTTGTATAAAAGGGACTCAGTTAATTTGCAATTAAAAAATCATAACTCAAATAGTTATTCAATTTGACTAAAAACAAATTTCAAACACTAAAAAGCAGATATTAAAGTTCCAGCTGTTTTGCAGGGAGAGAAAAGTTCCAGCTGTTTTATTAGTACCTATACTTATATATTCTTTACAATATCCTTTGCCACAATTTTCAATGTTTCTAAAACATATTTTGTATTCATTGAGCACCCTGCCACTTGATAGCCTAAATTAAACTGTCACTGCATTTTCAAATTCTAGCTTTGATCATAGGTATGCTATAACACTGCTACCTAAATTCATATTATGCATCAGGATGAAAATGTAGTCCATGAAATTGCTCCTAGAACACAGCCAAAGGGGTGGGTGGATTTTTTTCTTTGTTTTTAAGTTTAGTTTAAAACTACTAGACATAAAAAAAAAAAAACCCTACTAGACCTAGTTATAAGGCTGTAAAATGCATTCAGGCTACAATTATTAGCCTGATGCAAAACTGTCCATTAGTAATGCATTTTAGATAGACAAGATACAGGGAACCTGGGTGGCTTAGTCAGTTTAAATATCCTATTCTTGGTGTTGGCTCAGGTCATGATCTTGGGTGAGATCAAGCTCTGGGTCAGGCTCCGTGCTGATTGTGGAGCCTGCTTAAGATTTGAGATCTCTCTCTCTTTCTGCCCTCTCCCTGCTCCTGCACACATGCTCTGTCTCTAAAAAGAAAAATCACTTTAAAAAATAGATAGACCAGATACCTTTCTTATTAAATCTTACTTGAATTGGTTTTGTTTAGATTCTAGAGATGGTTTGTGTGTAAGAGAGTCTACACAGTTGCCTTGTATTCCAAGTGGGAATAAAATTGAAGTCTGTAGCAAATGAGGTTTCTAAAAGTTTAGATCCAAATTACTACAGATGCCTCTTAAGAATTCTTGTTTGTAAAAAAGAAAAAAAAGAATTCTTGTTTGTAATTGATGCTGGTACATTGAGCACCTTCTTTGATCAGCACCTCACCCCAAATGTCCCTTACGAGAGCAGGATATTTCACAAATTCCCTGAGGTAAACAGGAGAGACCCTGTAGTCAAACAAATTTATTCACTATTAACCAAAAGAGCTATGTGCCTACTGTAGGCTGAGAAAGTCCAGTACTGTTTAACATTCAAATGCAGAAATTAAAAGTGTTACATAGCTACTGGTTACATGTGGAATAAGGAAATATAATCTAACCATCTCTCTTTTGCAAAGGATCAAGAGGGCTATAAATTAATGGGCTATAAGTTCTTTCTTTAGTTCTTATGAATAACAAGCAACAGATTATACTTTTTTAAAAAGATTTTTATTTATTTATTCATAGAGACACACACACAGAGAGGCAGAGACATAGGCAGAGGGAGAAGCAGGCTCCATGCAGGGAGCCCAATGCAGGACTTGATCCCGGGCCTCCAGTATCACACCCCAGGCTGCAGGTGGCGCTAAACCGCTGTGCCACAGGGGCTGCCCAACAGATTGTACTTTTGCTTGAGACTTGAAGCAACTTGTAACTTAACTGAATTAGTAAGGACAATTAAATATAGGTATTCATGAAGATTACTAGGATTTTCTACGGATTCTTAATTTTACATTCTAGGATGGTGGCCCATGTTCAATGCTTGGCATCACTGCAGAGCACCCACTTCACATAGTCTCAAGCAGATATTTTAATGCCTATAGTTTTCCAGAGGATTCTATTATTACTATATCATCATTGTATGCCATGTTGATTATGGTTTTCAAAGGCTGCTATTCTTTTTTTTTTTCAAGTGGGGCTTGAACTCATGACCTGAGATCAAGACCTGAGCTGAGATCAAGAGTTGGATGCTTAACTGAGTGAGCCACTCAAGTGTCCCCAAAGGCTGCTATTCTTTTATTTGTAAGCTACTGATGGTTTTGCTTCATCATTACCAATTTGGTAATGCTGTCTGGTTACCTTATAGTATGCAACTATGCACATTTGCATAATTGGGGCCTATAATTTATTTATTTTTAAAGATTTTATTTATTTATTCATGAGAGACACACACAGAGAGAGAGAGAGAGAAAGGCAGAGGCACAAGCAGAGGGAGAAGCAGCCTCCATGCAGGGAGCCCAATGTGGGACTCCATCCCAGGTCTCCAGGATCACGCCCTGGGCTGAAGGTGGCGCTAAACCACTGAGCCACCCGGGTGGCCCTGGAGCGTATAATTTAATTAAACCTAAAGACATCATTGTTATGGTTCAAATAAGAATCATCTACACCACCATTATTAAAGCAGATATATAGACTCCTTAAAATTTGCATGTTGATTCATATAACAATGTGGATTAATCTTAAAATTCATTTTGCTAAGGGGAAGAAGCCAGACTCAAAGGCTACATATTATTTGATTACATTTATGTGACATTTTGGAGGAGGCAAAACTATAGGCACAAAAAACAAGATTAGTGGTTTCCAGGGATTAGGGTGGAGTGATAGGCTGACCACCAAGGAGACACAAGGGGAATTTTAGGGTGATGGAATTATTCTCTATAATTTTATATGGTGGATACATGATCCTGTGCATTTGTCAAAATCCACAGAACTATCCACTGCAAAGAAACTGTCACATATTGGAGGACACCAAGGAAACAATGACAGCCAAAGGCAAAGTGGTACCTCTGACTGGATTCTGGAACCAAAAAAGGACATCAGTGGAAAAACTAAAGAAATCTGAATAAATCTGAATAAAGTCTGTAGTTTGCTTAATAGTATTATACTATTAATTATTATTTTTTAGAGTAGAGAAAGAGATGGAAGGATGGAGAGAGAGAGAGAATCTTAAGCAGACTCCAAGCAGAACCTGTCATGGTACTCCAAGCCCACAACCCTGAGATCATGACCCAAGCCAAAGTCAAGAAGCAGATGCTTAACTGACTGAGCCACCCAGGTACCCCAATTTATTTGTTTTGATAAATGTCTCCTGGTTACATAAGATGTTTACATTAGGAGTTGCTGGCTTAAGAGTATATAAGAGCTTTGTACTATCTTTGCAACTTTTCTGTAAAACTAAAATTATTTGAAAATTGAAAGTTGAAAAAAGAAAAATATTTTTGTCTAGTGATCATTTGCTCACATATTATGAATCTGTGCTATTGAAATAGTTTGCATCAAGGCAAGTGTAATAAAATTGCTGGGGTATAAAGCTTGTGAGGCTATATTGTGTAATATAAAATCACGCATACAAAAGAAACAAGCTGATCACCTATATTCTTCTCCAAATATTTATCACAGAGTTCTTTTGTTCACTTGATGGAATTAACAGTTAAAAATATTTTGAAAATTATTTTCCTTTTTTTGTAGATATTTTGTAGCTAGTAGATAGAAATGCAGGTTTCTTTGTGTTTTTTTTTTTTGTTTGTTTTTTAAGATTTTGCTTATTTATTTGAGATAGAGTGTGAGAGAGCATGAGCAGTGGGGAGGGGCAGAAGGAGAAGGAGAGGGAGAGGGAGAATCAGGCTCCTCGCTGAGCAGGGAGCATGATGCAAGGCTCAATCCCAGGACCCCAAGATCATGACCTGAGTCAAAGGCAATGACTTAACTGACTGAGCCACCCAGGTGCCCCTGAGAATTACTTTCTAAGAGACAAACCTGAAGTAGGTGTAATGCTATCTTGTCTAGCTGTCCCCAGAATAAATAAGATTGACTTCCTCTCCTTTTTTTACTAAGCTAATGCATCACTACAAACTGGAATGACAAGATAGTGGCTTTAAGAGCTCCTTTGCCCAGGTTCAAAGAATTAGTGTTTCCTTCCTTCTGTACTCCCCCCATCAGTCTCACCCACACAGTTCACTCTCCTCTAGTTTTCTCAGTATGTTGGAGGAAGGGCAAAGGGAATAGTAAGTTCTTTCTGCAGGGTAAGCATGAATAATTGTAAAATTAAAGAAGTAAAAGGAGGTTGAAGAGAGCAGAAAATGGGCTATACATTAAGTGCAAGGCTTGTAAATGGGAGGACAGTTTAAATGTGGTTCAGTTTCTTAGCAGCAGGCCCAGACTTCTGTACTCTCAGGTTATCTGCTCTTTCCCCAGTCCTGCCACTCTGCCAAAGCCTATGAATGATGATGCAAGAAGGGTTTTTTGGTGTTTTGTCTTGTTTTTAAGATTTATTTATCTGAGAGAAGAGAGAGCAAGTGAGGGGAGGGGCGAAGGGAGAGAATCTTCATTCAGACTCCCTGCTGAGCATGGAGCCTGACTCAAGCTTGATCTCACCACCCAAGAGATCATGACCTGATCTGAAACCAAGAGTCAGAAACTTAGCTGACTGAGCCACCCATGTGCCCCAGATGATGCAGGAGAGTTAGCATGAAAAAAAAGTGCCACGCTGTGTAAATGTTGTTAGGGGATACACTGTGGATATACTAGGTGCTCTAATTATAATGGTGGGATTACAAATGCTTATATAACAGTAAGAAAGGTAACTATAGCATACTCCAGTTGGAGGATGTGATAAAAAAAAACGTGACTGCCGATTGACCTGTGAGCTGGATTACTGGCGCTCAGAGGTTCCTCACCCCCTCTCCCGTCCTTGGAATGTGGGTTCCACTTGCCTTTCCTGCTCCCAGAGGCTGCTCTAAGGAACATGGCCTCGAGAGGGTGATGTGATGTTGAAAACCCTTGTACAGTATATGTTACTGAACCCAGTTAGGGTCTTTTTATCAACTTTTGAGATTTGGAGGCAGGCATGGACATCCATTTGTCTTGCTGCAACCCAAGACAAACCTCATATGTAAGTTCCCTTTGTTACTATTAAAACTGCAACCTCCCAACCTGGGGTGGCTTGCCTCTTTCTCTGGTCTCTTCCTGCCTTCTGAGTACAGGGGCCAGATTCAGATCACATCAGGAAAGCTCCCAAGAGGGTTGAGAACCGATATTAAGCTTATGTATAAACTCTAAAAAGTTAGGTCCACATGAAAAAGCTAATTATACACTATGACAGAAGTAACTTTTTAGAGTAAGTGTCAAGCAAGATACCTTTAGGGATGCCTGGGTGGCTCAGTGGTTGAACGCCTCCCTTCAGCCCAGGGCGTGATCATGGAGTCTTGGGATCCAGTTCCACTTCGGGCTCCCTGCTAGGAGACTGCTTCTCCCTCTGCCTGTGTCTCTGCCTCTTTCTCTCTCTCTGTGTGTCTCTCATGAATAAATAAATAAAATCTTAAAAAAAATAAGATACCTTTAAATGTCTTGATCTTTATTACTCTGTGACTTCAAGGAGAGGCCACATTTGTCTGGTGACTTTGATAAGTATTCTAAAGTTTGCTTATTCAAAGTTCTGGGGGTATAAGGATAGTCCACTGGATTAATTATTTACTTTTGAAGATTTCAAAGATTTTTAAGACCTCTTATTTCTTGCAAAGGCCAGTAAAAGCATAATTAGAATTTTTCTTATTGCATTGTTGATACTGTATTTTAAGAATCAGAATGTCAAAGAAGCAAAATGAATTGACAGACTCTGAAAAATGTTTTCTCATAAGAAGCTAAAATTCTGGTACTTAAACATTTCAGGAGCTTGTATTACAAGTTACTATTTTGCTCATTCTGTTCTTTATTTTTATTTAGAAATCCAATACACTATAAACATAAGTAGGAATTAGAGCTCATAAACACTCATAAAAAAAAATCTCATCTAATTCCAAAGACTATTCGAGTTTGAGAACTACTGGGGCAGGGCTTACGGGCAAGCGTGTAGTGAATGAACACTGGTACGCTGGAGTGGGGGGTATTAAAGGCAAAGTTATAAATGTGATTATGTGTGAAGTTTTATCAATTATGAAACACTATAAGTAGAAGGTAGTGTTATGCAAAGATGCATAATCACAGACTGCTAGCACTGGAAAGATCGTAGGAAATTGAGGTCCAGTGTGACTTGTTTCAGTTAGGTAGCAAAGTAGCCAAATGCGTATGGTGCTGTAAAAGTGTCAAATGGGTACATATACAATCTGTGAGAGCTTGCGGGGAGAGGTTACTGGGGTTGGGGAGATCAGGAAAGACTTCATGGGGAGACAAGAACTAAACTGGGTCCAGACGGATAATTAAGGTTCATATTAGTCATATAGTGGGGAGGAGGACTGAGCCCAGATGTAGAGGGAGGAATGCACAAGACAGGAGTTGAAGGGTGTGAGTCAGACCCATGAAGCTGAGCAGGAGACTCCTGTAGAGAGGTAGAGGAAAGAGTAGTGGCTGGAGAAAACCTGTGGAGTGCCTTGAGCCCTAAGCTAAGGAACTGAAAGCACAGGGGATCCAAAGGTTTCTGAGTAGTCTATGAAAAGTTGGAGGGTGAGAATCTAATAGTAGGGCCGTTGAATCCAAAGGGCCTATGGACAGAGGCTAAAAGCAGGAGGCTACTGGAATGTTCTAGGAATGAGGCAAAAGAGGTCTGAACAAATGGGAATGGAAAAAAAGCAGATGTTAAATGCAGGACTGACAGTTCTTGGGATTTTTGTGGGGCTCAAAGGGGAGAGGAAGGAAGAAACCATTGTGGCGGGGGAGGGGGGGAGGTGTGGAGGTGTGTGTGGGGGGGCACTGGGATTATGATCACACCACTGACAGAAATAGGAGGCTGGGTTGGAAGAAAGAGGAGATTGGTCTGAGACAGAAGGTGGCACTGTTACAGCGCTCTCTCTATAGGAAAACATGAAACACAACTTACCTTCATGTCCTCAAAATCTGTTATCCCCATCTGAGGGAGGTTTGAGCAGTTTACATGAATGAGCTTTCGGCCACAGATGAAGTTTGTAGTAAAACACTCCTGGTAGTACAGGAACATCACTCAAATGATGTATGGCAAATAGCAGGAAGAAAACAAAGAGGGAAGAAGGAAGGAGCGAGTGAGGGAGGGAAGGAGAAGAAAGGATTGGAGGAAGAGAAGGAAGGGGGTGGAGAGATAAATCAAGAAAAAGCTGTAATTTAATTTTAAATTAAATTCAAATTTAAAAGAATCTTAACAACCCCACATATTTTCTGTCTAAACTCTCCATTAAATTTCATACTCCACCTTAATATTTTTTGGCATGATACAACCAGTGCTTCTTTCATGCCTCAATTACATTTTTAAGTACTAGGGTACAAAAGATTTCAGGTCTTGTGTTGTAGCCTAAGAACATAGTTGGCATCAATGAAATGAGGACTCACCCTATCTTTTTTGTTTGTTGCTCCCATTTAAAAAAATTTTTGTTATATATTTTTTTTATTGATGTACCATTGACATTCACTCTATTTAATAAAACTACGTTTGGTGAATTGGCTATTTATTTATTTATTTATTGAATTGGCTATTTAAATAGTATTGTTAGGTGCTCATGATACACATGACAGATTTGGCGCAGTCACTTAAGATTAATAGCACAAGTTAAGGGAGCTGCCGCTAAAACAACTTGACAAAGTACCAAAAAGTCTACATTGGACAAAATCTGTTTTAAAAAGTTTTCTGTGAAAAAGGGCCTATATGAATTTCTTAGTCTTTATTCAAGAATTGCAGAGAAGTATACTCATTGTGGTAAGTAGGGGAAACAAATGTGGCCCTCCCTTCCTCTATCAAAATGCATCAGTGGAAAGGACAAATTTTAATCCAAGTTACCTCTACCATAGTCCAGAACTTTTCTACGCTACTTCTAGTGAAGAAGAGGCAAGAGCTCAGGTAAGGGTAAGAGGAGTAAGAGACAGAAGGATGACAGCGTGTGATTTTTTAAAATGTCATTTTTGTATACCTTGTATTGAGGGAAGCCTAGCTCACTAATCCACTCTGCAACTTTCTCTGGGCTCCATTTAAGATAGTCAAATCGTGGCTGCATGCTTTCTTTTGGCTGGGTGTCTTGATCTTTGTGTGGCTGTTTCTCTAAGTCTACAACTTTTTCACTAAAAGAATCTCTTGAATCGCTCTGAGAGTCTGTGAGGTAAGAGTATAACTCACTACCGGTATCAGTAAGCTCAAACAGTTCGCTAAAACCTTTAGAAAGCTCATAATCTGTATTTGTTGAGCCTGCTTCGCTTATTGTGAGCGACCTGAACATAGTTTCTCTTCTAGCTTTCCTGATTTCACTTACTGAGAGCTTTCTTGTTTGATAGTCAGAGTGTTCTGACAAGGGCTCATCCTTGTCTACAGAATGGTTAAGTTTGACTGGTTTTGGCATATCTTCCTTGGAAACTTCTGTACATGACTCTATTCTTAGCGGTAGTTTTGGTTTATCTGGTAACTCTAAATCTTTCTCTGTTTGTGTCTTCTTCTGAATCTCTGGTTTGGTCTTCTGTGGTGGCATTTGATCTGTTTCCTCACTTGATTTTCTTGGTTCTATCTTTGGAAACTTTGGCTCTAGACCCTTCTCCTCTGTTGACTCTCCTACTGTCTCCTCTGATTTGGACTTCTGTGGTGGTGCTAGTCCTGTCTCCTCCGTTGATTTTCTTTGCTTATCTTTTTGCTCTGATGGTTTAGTTTCCTCTAGTGGTTCTAAAACTTTCTCCACAGTTGATTCTTTCAGTGTCTCCACCTGAGCTTCTGGTTTGGTCTTTCCTGATGGCCCCAGACCTATTTCCTCAATTGATTTTCTTGATTTTTCTTCAAGAAATTCTGATTTGGTCTCTTCAAGAGGCTCTGTCCTTTTCTCCTCAGGTGACTTTCTTTGGGCTTCCTTTGGACTCTCCAGTGTGGTCATCTTTGGCGGCTGTAGATCTGCCTCTTCAAACAATTTTCTTGGTTTCTCGCTTGGAAATTCAGGTTTGGTTGGCTCCGGAGGTTCCAGACCTGTTTCTTCATATTGCTCTGTAAGTGAATCCTCCAGAACTTCTGGTTCGGCCTCTTCTAGTAACTCTAATCTTGTCTCACTGATTGAGGCCCCTGGAACTTCAGCCTCGGTCTCCTCTGGTAGCTCCGGATCTGTTTCCTTAGCTGACTTTTTGGGCACATCCTCTGCAACATCTACTTTGGCCTCCCTCCGTGGCTCTAAATCTGGCTCCTCCTCATGCGTAAGAGCCTCCAAATCCTTGAAAAGCTCTCCTACGATCTCTCTGACCGTCTCTGACTCGGCCTCCTGGGGACTCTCTAGATCAGTCTCGCTAGGAAAGCCTCCCTCCGACTCTTTGGGCGTCTCCCCGCCGGACGAGCTGGCTGGTTTTAGGTGTAGGTGCGCGTTCTCTGGCGCCCCCACTTTGAGGTCCTCTTCCTCCACCTGCGGCTGGGGTTCCCGGTCAGTCTCCACAGGCAGCTCGGGGCCTCCCTGTGCCGTGGCGTCGGCTTCGGCATCTTGAGCCGTTTCCAGAGGAGCAGGCAGTTCCCGTGCCCCATTCTCCAGGTCTCCTCCTTCCAACGAGCCGGACTCCGGGACTTCAGCCATGACGCACGTTAGCCGACGCGCCCAGGCCTCCTAGCAACCCCAACTTCCGATAGCGTCTCCATGGATACCGTGATTTCCGGCCGAGTGTTCCTGAATCTTCCCTCAGGTTTTGTTTGTTCTGCCAAACCCTGTCTAAAAACCTGCGACCAGAAGCCCGCAGTCGCCCTCCCCGCGGCCGCGCCGCCAGCCTCCGCTGCCCAAAGCCCCGCGGCCGCTCGGGGGCCCGCGCGCAGCCTCTTCCGGCCCGCGGGCCGCGCTCGGCTCCTCCCGCCGCCGCGCTCGCTCGGCCTTCGGCTGTTTCCGGAGTCACCCGCGGCCGGCGGCGGAGGCGCTCCCCGGGCGGGCTGCAGATGTCGGAGCGGCAGGCGGCCGGGGCACCGGCGGGCCGCGGCGGGGACGGCCCGGGAGTGGAGGGGAGCCAGGCGGCCGCCTCAGGTACGCAAGCCGGGGGCGGCGGGTGGGTCCGCCCGGCCTCGGGGCCCCGCCGGTCGCGCGAGGCTCGGCCGCGCCCTGGCCCGCTCTGCCCGGGCCTCCCCTTCGCGCGCGGAGCCCCCCCGCCTTCGCCCCCCCGGGCCGCGCCCCGCGCCCCCCGCCGCCCCCCGCCGCCCCCCGCCGCCCCCCGCCGCCCCCGCCCGGCCCGGGACTGCGCTCGGGCTGCCGGCCGCTCCTGTTTCGAAATGCCGGTGGTTCCTGCCCCGCTTCCTTTCTCGGATCGGCCCGGATGGCGCTGACCGGGCTGCTCCGCTCGCGCGCGGGCGGCTCCCCGGCCCTGGGTCGGCCCAGCCTGGCCCCCCGCACGCAGGCCCCGCGCCTCGGTCGCTCCGGGTGCGGCGCGGCCCGAGCCGACCGCACCGAGGGGCTGAGGTAGGGGCGTGGGCGACCTCCCTCCTCGGCCGGCCGGCGCCCGGCTCCCTTCTGGGTCAGGCGCCCCCGCGAGTTCCTGCTCCCGGGTTACCTCAGCGTCCGGAGGGACGGGGGCCCCCGAGGCTCCCCACACAGGGAGAGGCAGAGGGCAGGGGCAGAGAGCTGGCCTCCCCGAGTGGCAGGTACAAATTGATTTTTCAAGTCTGAAATGAAAACAGACACCGTCACCTGGGGTGGTAGAGGTGGTGCCGGGCGCCTAGGTAGACTCGGGATGTTCAGCGTCCTGATGGGGTGACCTTGGGCAAGTCACTTCTCCCCGTTTCGGTTTCCTTTCCCATATATAAGACGCGGGTACTCCTAGTACCCGCCTGGTAAGATTGCCAGGAGATTACATGAGCCCCCTCAGGGTGGGGCGCCGGCGCCTAGCCCCGGGTACACCCTATAACGGGTTATTCATTATTGTAGGATCTGGTCTCGCACACGTCAGCTCCGGGTGCGTCAGAGGTGTCCCTGGATGTGTGTCTTCCTGCACGGTGATTTTTCTCATCTTTTTGCTTCTATCCCAAATACCCCCCCCCCCCCATCCTCTAATGCTACTTCAGTCAGACACGCACGCATCTTTGAATCACCCAGTTTTTCCCCCTGACTTTGTCCTCTTGCTTTGAAACATCTTAACAGTTTTTGTCTTTTTTTTTCTTTGTATGGACTTTTATGCTTTGCGGTATATTCAAAATTGATGGCATGTATTTAACATTATAGCAATAGAAATGTTGAGCATGATTTCTAAAAGATTCAGCAAGTGAGCATTCAAGAGTCTCGTAAACATCTGTGCCTTGCATATGTCAGTATTTATGAGTCGAGGGTTGTTTCCTTTTCTTTCTTTCTTTCTTTCTTTCTTTCTTTCTTTCTTTCTTTCTTTTTTTTTTTTCTTCCCCTTTAGCTCCTTGGGTGCTTTTGGCAATCAAACTCAACACACTTTAAGTACAAAAGGCTTAAGAATAATCGAATACCTTAGACGATGGTGGTGGCTTTGTCTCTGAGTGTCTTCCTCTCCCCCATCCCTTTTAATTGGGTCCTCCATTTTTTTCCCCCTCAGGACCATGCTAGAAATGCTTCTGGTTACTTTCTTCCTCTTGCCCTTAGCAGGGTGAGTGTAGGTCTCTTTTTCCGTCATGTAGGGCGTTGTAATGTAGCACATAGCACGCTCTTTCCCTTGAGGTAGGATTTATTGCTAATAAAATGATAGGAATGATAACTTACATTAATTGAATGCTTCTCTGTGCCAAAAAGTGGACCAAGATTGACTTGTATTATCTGACTTAATCCTGTCAGCATTCATTTTCTCCCCATTTTATTTTATTTGATTTTTAAAGATTTTATTTATTACAGAGAGGACGCGAGTGGGAACTGGGGGGGGGGGGGGGGTGTCCAAGGAGCAGGAGAGGGAGAAGCTGACTTCCCACTGAGCCTGACATGACGCGGGGCTGGATCCCAGGACCCTGAGATCATGATCTTGAGTCGAAGGCAGACACTCAACCGACTGAACCACCCAGGTGCCCCTTTCTCCCCATTTTATAGAAGAACAAACTATAGCTGAGACAGTTTATCTGCCCAAGTGACTGTGGCAATTTTGCTGTCTGTATGAAACCGACACCTTGTTGTGATGAAGTCTACAATCGTTTGTTTTTATTGGCTGTTGATCCAGTATTGGTATTCCAGGGCAGGTTATGGTCTTTGTCCTCTAGATGTGTTTAGTTTGGTAAGATGAGAATACCCCAGGAACAAACATCAGCGACTCAAAACATATAATTAAGTGTCTGTTATTACAGTTCTTTATGTACTTACCCCCCAAGAAATCTGCTTTAGGCGAGGGACAATCTGTCTCCTCTGCTTATGTCCTAGAGCCCTTGATGTTGTGTCCTGGAGGTTCTATAAATATTTGCTGGATTGTGAGGGAAAGTCTCAACACAGAGATTTGGAGGAGCACCAAATGCATATGAAGAATTAAAGTTGAGATAATTAAGATTGTTCCTTGGTTTAAAGCCATGGTTCTCAACCAAGGGCGATTTTTCCTGGGGATGCTCAGGGGATGTTTTGGTTGTCACTGCTGGGTCTGGGGAGGAGGGGAGGGGCTGTCCCTGATATCTAGCGGGTAGAAGTCGGGGATGCTGCTAAACACTCTGCAATGCACAGGACAACCCTGACAAGAAAGAATTATCTGGCCCCAGATGTCAGCAGTGCTGCTATTGAGAAGCGCGTTAGCATGAACCTGGATTTCCAAAGCAGTGGAGAAATCATACATCTGGCTTGGCTCAGAGTCGTAGAACCTGGGGAATAAACTTTAAAAACTGCTTCAAGTGAGGGGTTTGATTGGATCCTTCTGCCACCTTCTTCTAGAATATGACCCAATAAGCAAACAATAGAGGCCTGAGAAAGAATGAAATTGAAAGAAGTATCTGGAGGATCCCTGGGTGGCTCAGGGGTTTAGCACCTGCCTTCGGCCCAGGGCGTGGTCCAGGAGTCCTGGGCCGAGTCCTACATCAGGCTCCTTGCCCAGGGCCTGCTTCTCCCTCTGCCTGTGTCTCTGCCTCTCTCTCTGTGTCTCTCATGAATAAATAAATAAAATCTTAAAAAAAAAAAGTGTCTGCCATTCTCTCTCAGAGAGAAAGCAGCAATTAGAAATGAGTTTGGACATTCAGTTGTTATTGAATTAAAGGTTTTGATTTTTTTAAAAAGTAAAGGTTTTGATTTTTCAATGTATCTTATTCCTTCAAAGCAGAAATTTGTTTTTTAACAATATTCTCTTCTGACAGTACCTTTTAAGTTTCTTCATGTTTGTTAGCTGGTTTTATTTTTTTATTTTTTTTTAATTTTTATTTATTTATGATAGTCACATAGAATGAGAGAGAGAGGGGCAGAGACACAGGCAGAGGGAGAAGCAGGCTCCATGCACCGGGAGCCCGACGTGGGATTCGATCCCAGGTCTCCAGGATCGCGCCCTGGGCTAAAGGCAGGCGCTAAACCGCTGCGCCACCCAGGGATCCCTACTTTTTTATTTTTTTAAAGATTCTATTTATTTATTTGAAAGAGAGAGAGAGCATGAGCATGACCAGGGGAGAGGAGAGAGGGAGACGCAGACTCCCACCAAGCAGCAAGCCCAATGTGGCTCAGTTCCAGGACCCTGAGATCATGACCTGAGCTGAAATGAGATACTTAACCAGCTGAGCCACCCGGGTGCCTCTTAGCTGAAGTTTTAAGTGATGAAGTAAGAAAACTGCATGTTCTTCTGGTGACCACAGTGCTCTTACTGTTTTGTGAACTGTAATTGTTTCTAATAGTCCTTTATGTGGGGCACCTGGGCCCTCAGTCCCCAAGAGAGAGAGATCACTTTTTAGATAGTGAAACTGTCTTGAGGCTAACATGTTGCATCACTTAAGGGACTTTTTTTTTTTTTTTTACGCTTAGGGCCCTTTGTGGAAAATAAAGGGCAAAGTCTGTTATGACCTTGAAGTCCGCATTAGAACTTGGCTTGGTGTATATGACTGTGAGAGCTATGAAGGCACTTAGACGCTAAGGACTGGAATAGATCAAGTGAACTTGTCGTGATTCTTATATAGATCTCAGAGCAGTGCAGTAAGTCTTTTTGCAGTCATAAGGACTGATGAGAAATTTGATCACGTAGTCTCTGGATTTGGTTGGAATATAAACTCAGGGGGCAGTCCGGGTGGCTCAGCGGTTTGGCCAGCCTTCGGCCCAGGGTGTGATCCTGGAGTACTGGGGTCGAGTCCCACGTCAGGCTCCCTGCGTGGAGAGCCTGCTTCTCCCTCTGCCTGTGTCTCTGCCTCTCTCTCTCTCTCTCTCTGTCTCTCGTGAGTAAATAAATAAAATCTTAAAAAAAAAAAAAAAAACTCAGGCAGTTTCTTTTTGTTTAAGCTTCTTGAGTCTTTAACCACATAACCTGCTTTTGGTTCCTCTGCCCTGAATCTAAAAGGCCAGGCTAATTATCTCTGCAGCCTGTTTAGTGAAGGGGAAGTCTTATGAGACCTGTTCTAGGGAACTCTGACCTGATATTCACATGCTTTAGAAAAAACCCTGTTTTTTTGGTTCTCTTTGTAGAGAAAGTACAAAGTACACAATAAACTTAAATCTGTAGCATGATTAGAATGTCTGAAACCATATTTTGGTAACATAGAAAACTTGTATTTTAAGTATTGTCAAAAATAAAATAAATCATTATAGGAAAGTTTCTTTTCTTTCCTCTTCACCTTGTTTTATTTTTTATTTATTTATTTATTTTATTTATTTTTTTTTCTTCACCTTGTTTTAGAGGCTATCAGTTATAAATTTAGTTATTCTTGGCTTCCATTTTCCTTTCTCTGTTCATTGTTTCCAAAACTGGCCATGCACGTACCATGTCATGGTTTTTGCCAAGTTAGAGAATGCATTCCAAAGTTATTTGATTATTATTTTTTCTATACATTGACATTAAACATTTTATTTCATTCTAAATGATATCTGTGCTATTACTATTTTGATGTATCAACTTTTCCTAATACATGTTAAAATAAATACCCATTAAAAAAAAAAAACCCATGTTTTCCTGTATACCATCTAAATTTGCAAAACTTACCCTGGTTTCTCTGGTCTTGGAATACTTGTTGGATTGGTCTATATTTGGCTGACATTAAAAACTATCTACAGAAAAATTGACTTTTTCTTCTTTATAGTGGTCTAAATTTCACTGAATAAATTTAGGAAACATAACAAACTGTTAGTAACGGTTTTCTCTCTCTACAACAGGACTGTATCTTCCACACTTGATACCCCTGGAAATAAACTTAAGAATTTCTTTCTCCTTTTCTTACTTCCTGCCTCTCTGAATCCAGTTACGAGTTGTTTTACCAGTAGTTCCTACATAATTTAGCAAATACCTTTAACCTTGAAAATCAAGAGAGCTATCTCTTTTTCACTTTTTTCCCCCTTGCATACTTTAAGCTGATAAGGTGCTTGGAGAAGTGGCTTCTAGCATATGAAAAATACTCAACCTAATTTTCGATAAGGGACTTGCAAATCATATATACACTGGGCAGTTTGATATCTCAGTATGTTGGTAGGGTTGTGCAGGAACAGGAACTTTCATGCACTGCTGTTAGTGTAAATTAATACAAATGCTGTGGAGGGCAGTTTGCCAGTATCCATCATAATTACAGTATATGCTCTCATCGATCCATTCCTTCCAGGAATTTATCCTCTATAGATTTATTCTTATGCCTATTTAGTGACACAGACACAAAGTTAGTATAGCATAGTGTGTAATGGCAACAGATTAGAAAGGACATAAATGTCCATTGTAGGGAACTGGTTAGGAATATCCAACCAATGAAATATTAATCTAATCAGCTGTAGAAAAAAAAACCTTTCATATATGGTTATGGAAAGATCTCTGAGATATAAATGGGAAAAATAAAGTATGTTTAATATGCTCATTTGTATAAAAAGAACATATGCACACACGTATTTATGTGTATAAAGT